TCTATAGAATAGGGATAATAACAGTGTTTACCACACAGGGTTGAGAATCAGTTGAGGTAACACATGGAAAACTCTACGCAAACCTCAAGGTGATATACTTTCAGGCATTGTTCAGTTGTTTTTCAGTCATATTCAACCCTTCCTGACCCCATTTGGGGTTTTCTTGCCAAAGATACTGGAGTGTGCAGTGGATAAAGCTCAGGCCTTGGCGGAGGACCTGAGTTCAAATCCGGCCTCAGACACTTGACACTAGCTGTGTGACCCTGGGCAAGTTACTTAACCTTGATTGCCTCACCAAACAAAAAAAAATTGGAGTGGTTTGCCATTTCCTTCTTCAGTTCATTTTACACATGAAGAAACTGAAGCAAATAGGGTTAAGTAGAAGGATTAGATTGGTTGAGTTTAGCCCCAGAGGGCAGAACTAGCCATACTGGGTGGACATGGCAGAGAGGAAGATAATTAGAGTTACCTACAAATGGAATGGGCTGACTTGGGCTAGAGCAGTTTCCCTTTCATTTAAGTTCTTAGGCCAAAGGCACAATGACATTAGCTTGGACTAGATGGCCTGCCATTCTTTGTAACCTAAGTTCGGTTTCTGATTCTGACCTTTCCTGGCTAGGTTACCTAGAGACAGCTAGGAGATGTGGTGGATAGAGCACTGGACCTGCAGTCAGGAAGAGCTGAATTCAAATCCAGCCTCAAACATTTACTAGCTATGTGACCCTGGGTAGGTCACAACCTCCCTCAGCCTCAGTGCTGTCATCTGCAAAATGGGGATCATAACAGCATTTACTTGCCAAGCTTAGATCAAATGAGCTAATACTTGTGAAGTCTTAGCACAGTGCCTGGCACATAGGAAGCACTATATAAAAATTTTTTACTGGTATTGTTGTTGTTGTTGTAGTTGTTACATTTGACGACTTATTTGAGCTTCCATTATTATCCTCTATTATTATCTTTACAGAAGAGGAAACTTAGGCTCAGGGTTAAACAGCTAGGGATTCTGAGTCAGGACTGGAACTCAGCTCCTCATCGATAATGTGACCTAGCTGATCTAATGAAAAAGCCCAGGATTCTGAGACGGAAGATTGAGGTTGGAATATTGGCTACTCACCACTTGAGTGACCTCAGGCAAGTCATAAGCCTCAGTTTCCTCACCTGTAAAATGATGTATTGGACTAAATGATCTCCAAAGTCCTGCCAGCTCCCATGTTAGCACTCTCGTAGCTGAAGATGGAAGGACACACAAAGCAGCATTAATTTGCCAGTCATGGTGCGCTCAGCGTCCCAGCAAATTCAGGGAGGGGAGGGACGGTGGTGGGGAGCAGAGTTCCCCCAGGCTAGAGACTGGTACAAAGCCCACTGCTGTCCTCCAGATAAGTCTCAAGAGCCCTTTGTTGGAGCTCAGTCTGTCTGTGAATTCATTCAGGATCCATTCCCAGCCTCACCATCTGCTAGTGACTGTATTACCATCTGACCATTCACCTTGCCCCTCAAACAACTTTCCCTTGAAGTAGCTGCTAAGGAGCCTACTCATTGTCTAGCTGGATATATGAAGTCAGGGAAGACCCTTGACCCAGGGTAATGACTAAGGGGCTAGGAGGAGGAAGTTGTGGAGACACAAAACACCTTCCTCGAAATGGAAACGATTTGCCCTACAGTGTGAGTAAAACAAAACCCAGAAGAGGAACCGGGAGAGTGAGCAGTTGGTCCAACTGAAGCCATATTGTGCCCCAGGCGTCCCAATCACTCCTCCAATAATATTGATGCTTTGTGTTTGGAAACTCTTCCTCCAAGGCTTTCCCCTCCCCAATAAGCTCCAGCTAACTTCTGCCATACATCCCTGCTTTCCCACATTTAAACTTCCCTAGCCAACTGCAGAAGCCTCTGAGCATCTCCTGTGCACTAATGAACCATTCTCCATCCTTAGACCCCTCTGCCTGCATTGGTTGCTAAGAGAATGGGGAACCACGGCTGAAAGATGTTTGGAAGGAGAAAAGGAGAGGTGAAGGTCTGTTTGCCCAGCATCCCTGGTCTTTATCCAATGACAGCTCCATCCAGTATTTGATCTCAGGTACAACATCAGCCTCCAGGATTCTTCTTCTTTGAAGGTTTTGGAAAATTCCTTTCTTGAGTCAGTGAGTATGGGATAACTCTGTCCATTGGCTAGGACTACCTCTGCTCCTTAACCAAGTACTCAGTCAATCAATTACCAAGCATTAATTAGGCACTTATTATGTTTTAGGTGCTAGGTTAGACACCAGGGATACATCGACAAAGAATGAAACAATCCCTGCTCACAAGGGATTGACATTCTCTGTTCCTGGGAGAGCTGAGGTCCCAGATAGGAGCAAGCAGGGTCATGGAACCCTCCTTATCCTAACCTCCATAAAGAGCCTGAAGGGGGGTGGGGTGGGGTCAAATTTCCCCAAGGGAAAAACCTGCTATATAATCCAGAAATGGGATTCCAGGGAAGTTGAAGGTACTAATAAGGAGAGAGAAGGAAAAGCAGAGAGGGAAATACCAAGAATAATTGGAGAAAACTGACCCCTTGGCTTTTGGAAACAAGCTAGCATAGGGAGAAGAGCACTGTACCTGGGGTCTAAAGACTCTTGACAACTTACTCTGTGAGTCCTCTGGTGCCAACAGCCCATTTCTAGAGTGCTTTAATAAAGGCATCTGACATGAGAATGTCATTGATCCTCACAAAAAACCCTGCTGGGTATATCCTACAGTAATTGTCATGCCCATTTTACAGATGGGTAAATGGAAGCTTGCCCATGGTCACATAGCCATTGTCATTTTTTTTTCCATTTTACTGATGAAGGAATCAAGGCTGGAATAAATTTAATGATTTGTTCATGGCTGCATAGCTGGTATTATATTGAGCAATCAATCAATAAACTTTTTAGGCCCTTACTCTGTGCTAGGTGCTGAGCAAGGAGCCAGGGCTATAATTATTTAAAAAATGAAATGTTCCCAACTCTCAGAGAGTTTCCAGACTGCTGGTCTGAAAGGGAAATCAGGGAGGGCTTCCTATAGCAGATGGAGCCAGAGATAAACCTTGACAGAAGCCAAGGAGGTGAGGAGGGTGAGCCTTCTAGGCATGGGTACCAGGCTAGGCAAAGGCCTGGAGATGGGAGATGAAGTAGTGGGTACAGGGAAAAGCAAGTACGCTGGTGTGGCTGGACTGTAGCGTTCATGGGGGGCAAGAATGTATTAATGGAAAGACGCCCATTTACTTAACTTTTCTGGGACACAAATTCCTCATCCAAAAAGTAAGCTTCTTGGACTGAGCTGCCTGAGTTTCGATCCAGCTCTAAATCTAAGATCCTAGGATACTATATCCTGGATTCAAAACTCACCTCAAGACACTCGGTAAGTCTCCAATCCCGGACAAGTCACTTAATCCCTCAATACCTCTGAGTAAGTCAATGAGCAGGTGACAATCTGCATCAGTGGAGAGACTTTCCTGCCTGGGAATTCCCTATTCCATTTAAACAACTCCCTCCTTCCCGTGGGGGGAAAAAAGAGAGAAGATGGCAATGATTTGGGGTGATGCCAGATGAGGCTGATGATTGGTCACTTTATTGAACTGCAACCCCATGGTGCCATTTTAAAATCTTTAGGAAAAGATGGCTCTTTGGGATGCAGGAGCAGGAGAAAAATGCTGGGAAGTGTGGGTGATGTGAGGAAAAAAAGATTTGATTAAGAATTTGAAAGTGAAGACAACAGTGATAAGAGACTTTTTTTTCTGGTTTTATGACTAAGATTTGGGCCTGGGTGGAGGCAATCCTAGGAACTAACCCACATTCTCAAAATTTCCAAATTAGTTTAATTTTTAGGGAAAAAATAAAATTTGGAAATTCTACTTCAGCACTAAGAAGAAATGGTCTGCTTTTATCCAAATCTTTGGCCATATTGTAGAGGGTCCCAAAGCACTTTCCTCATACTTCTATCAGGTAGGCAGCAAAAATATTATTATCCCCATTTAGTAGATAATGAAACTTGAGGCCCAGAGACATCAAGTGTCTCAAAGGGAGACACAGTTAGCAAGCTTCTGAGCTTGGATTCAAACTCTGCTTCATAGTTTCATAGACAGAACTGGAAAGATCCTCAGAAACCACTTATTCCAACTCTTTTTACAGATAATGTCACCGAAGCCCAGAGACACAAAGCAATGTCACCAAGATCACACAGGCAATAAGTGGGATTTGAACAGGGATACTCTTACCCCAAATCCTGAGTCTTTTCCATTATGCCACACTGACTACTAGTGGTCCTTTCCCATAGCCATTTCCTAGAAGATGCTGGGCCATCTCTAGTGGTCCTGATGAATATCTGGCCACTGGACTCAGATGGCTCTGGAGGAGAAAGTGAGGCTGGTGACCTTGCACAGCCCTCCCTCACTCAAATCAAAGTCAATTGTAAGTCATGTCATCATCTCCCTGATGTGATGGTCCTCTTCGAGAACGGAGGACAAACACAACAATTCTACAAGATGCCTGGCTTGCATTGTCCTAAAATTGTAATAACATCACTTCTACCACCCACTATTTATAGAATGTTTCCAGGTCACAAAATGCTTCCACATCCATAACTCCTTGGGTTTCAAAACAAAGCTGAGAGGTATGCAGGGTTGGTGCTCTTGTCTCCATTTTATACAGATTAGAAAACTGAGCCTTGGAGTGGATAAGGGACTTGCCCATAATCACACAGCTGGTAAATAAAGGGGCTAGGCCTCCAATGGAGCCATCCAGGTGCCAAGACTGGGGCTATTTCTCGATGACCACAATGCAATACAGCCAGCTGTCATCAGCCATCCATTCAGGAGGTGAGTGTGGTCTCTTTCACCTCAAATGAATGGTACCTCCTGTAAATAGGGCTCCATGCTATTCCATCCCACTCTGAAGAGTCTTTGAAGGCATTCAGTCATGAACTGAAATAAATGCATTTGTAAATGGACATTTGAATGAAATAATACTGCACCCCAGGCATGATTATTTAGCAAGTGTTTATTCAGGTTTCATAGCAACTATAAAACATCATGAGATACTTGACATGCCCAGTGATACTCAGAAAGGAAACCTCAATTTGACAAAGAAAAGGGAGAGGAGTTTTAGAGAAAGGCCCTTAATTAACTAATAGTTTAAGACTCTTATCACATTGACACCACAGACCTTGCTGATTGTTGGATACCTTCTGCAATATGGCCAAAGATTTGGATAAAAGCAAACCATTTCTTCTTAGTATTGAAGTAGAATTTCCAAATTTTAATTGTTTTCCTTAAAAGGAATGCTCGCTACAGTCTATTCGGAGTAAAATCAGTTAATGCTTAAAGACATGCTGGGCAACTCACAAAATTCATCAGAAACATAAGTATAACTAGAAAGAACCTCAGAGGCTAGAGAGTCCAAACATTTTAAAGGTAATAATATTGGGACCCCTGGAGATTAAGTGACTGGTCCAAGGTCATCCAGGTAGTAAGCATCAGATTTTAACCCAGGTTCTCTGAATTCAGAATCATCTACCCCACTTACTAATACAGTGTCTCAAAAAAGAATGTGTTTAAAGGTATTTGAAGACTGAATGAGTAAATTAATGAACAATAGAATGAATGGTAGAGAAAAGTGGGAAGATGACCATCATCTTCATGTCACCTCCTTCTTAATAGTAACAGACAACAGGATTTCATCACTCGCAGGAGCTCTTTGGCCTTAAATGGTCTTTCTCCTAGAAGCTTTGCCCAATAGAGTCTGCAACTTGGGAGTTGGAGAGGATACATCACTAACTTTTTTCTTCTAGCTAGGTGGTATGGTAAACAGGAAGATGACTTCCACTCTCCGCTCTGAAAGATGTTTCCCCTTTGGGCTGTAGTATCTTCATCTGTAAAATGAGGAGGTTGGGTTGGGTGGTCTTCAAGGCCCCTTCCAGTTCTAAATTCTATGATCATTCAAATCCCTTTAATTTGCACTCAGAATTCAATGTGACAGAGACAGTGCATATAGCAGGCACTAACTAGATTGTGGGGTTGTGGGGCATGGTGCAGTATGATGTGCCTATTAGGAATACTCCTAAAATGCTTAATGTATTTGCATGAGATTAAATCCTTCTATCCTTGGGTGAACTCCTTCAGTCTCCCTTGCTGCAGCTACTCTGCCAACAAGGTGTTAAATAATAGGTAACCCTTCCTTCATTGGGAGGGATTATAGATCCCATTTGCTTTAATATTCATAAAATATTTCTCTAGAATTATCTCATTTAAGATTTGCCACAACCCAGTGCATAGGTATAGGCTATTGTTATTTCCATGTTATAGATGAGGAAACCAAGGTTCAGGGATGACCAGGGCCACCCATTTGGGAAATGTGTGTGGCAGGATTAGAAAGTAAGTCTATATACACTGCACCACCCTAATTTTCCAGTAAAATGATACCTATGCATCCATCTAAGGCACACTTATCTTTCCATAAGCTTGATGGAGTTGGAGTCCTGGGCTGGAGAAGTTGGGTTGAATTAGATGGCTTCTCAAGAACTGCCTGGCTCAGAGACTATAATTTTCTGATAGAAGTAACCCCTCTCCTATCGGCTGAGGTCTCTAAAACACTTCTCTCTCTCTCTCTCTCTCTCTCTCTCTCTCTCTCTCTCTCTCTCTCTCTCTCTCTCTCTCTCTCTCTCATTATGGATGTACTATGATTTCTGTAATATAATTTCATCTACACTAATGAGAAATGAATGTCATAGATAATCCGATATGTTCTATGAATGGGACCTCAGCTGAACCCTAAAGATTCTTCAAGTGGTCAAGAGCCCTGCTAACCCTCCCTAAGTCAGAGTGTGAGAGCCCAAGTGAATCTTCCAACATAGAATGTGAAAAGATCTCCATCATCCCCACTCTCACCTGTATCCTGATCAGGACAGGCATAGCTCTAGGGCTTTCAAGCTTACCAAGTGCTTCATAGCCATTATCCCATTGGCCTCTCCCCACAACCCTGGGAGGTAGGTTACTACAGATGTTGTTATGGTCATTTTACAGATGAGGAAACTGATCTTAGAGAGGTTTAATAACTTGCCCTCAGCCACACAGCTATAAAGCCAGTGGCAGGATAGTTCACAGAAAAAAAGAGGACATGGAATGTTCGAGCAGAAATGGACCCTAGAATGTAGAATGTTAGAATATAGAGCATTGCATGGTAGAGCTGGAAGGGAACTTAGGATAAATCAATCAACCATTCAGCATTTACTAAGCACCTATTGGGTGCCAGGTACTTTGCATGGCTCTGGAAAATTGGATCCAATCCCCTAGAGAATCACAGACTGTCCAAACTAGAAGGCACCTTAGAATGTTAAAACATAGAAAGTACAATCTTAGAACAGTATGCTAAAGCTGTACCAGATCTTAGCACTTAGAATGATGAGATACCAAACATAGAATGTTAGAGGGGAAAGAGACCTTCAGACACAAAATGTTAGCGATGAGCTGTTCCTTAGAGTATGGATTTCCAGAACACAGAACAAAGAATATTAGAGCTGGAAGGGACCTTAAAACATAGAAATATTAGAGTTAGAAGGGACCTTAGAACAAAGAATGTCAGTGCTGGGAGGGATGTCAGAACATAAAATATCAGAGATTTACAACAGGGAATGTTAGATGATAGAACATCAGAACTTAGAACAAAGTCTACTGGAATGATAGCTGAAAGGTACCATAAGAGATTATCTGGTCTACATCCCCTCTCCCCACTCTACTCCCCCACACCATTTATAAAGGAAGAAACTGAGGCCCAGAGTTCAAAGGTCACACAGTGAGAAAATGGCTGGACTGGCTGGTGACAGTACTCATTAGATTCTCACCCAAACCAAATAAAGCTTGCGAGCCTTCATGTCATTTGGTAAAAGGGGGTCGGTCTGAGAGATGAAGGCCATGAGAGGCACGCCCAGGATGTCTATGCCGACCACACCTCCCTGGGAACACTTCATCTCTCCCTTCTTCAGACTGAGAAAAATGTGTCCCTGGGTACAAGAGGGGAGACACAGCAAACACCTGTTAGCACAAACTGGGCACGATTCACAGCTCTTTCAGATACCGCAGCGCTGGCTCCAAGAGAAGGTTCTCTCCCTGTCGGAACCTCCGGGCTGCCTGATCAATTTTCAGAGGGCTGAGGGCGAGGTTATAAATGAGATTGTAGTTGTGCATGAGGCGCTTGGCTCGCTCCTTCTCCAGAACACCTGTGTTTGGGGGACAAGGAAGGAGGAGAGAGAGAGAGAGAGAGAGAGAAAGAGAGAGAGAGAGAAGAAGAAGAAGAAGAAGAAGAAGAAGAGAAGAAGAAGAGAAGAAGAAGAAGAAGAAGAAGAAGAAGAAGAAGAAGAAGAAGAAGAAGGAGGAGGAGGAGAGGAGGAGGAGGAGGAGGAGGAGGAGGAGGAGGAGGAGGAGGAGGAGGAGAAAAAGAAAGAAGAAAGAAAGAAAGAAAAAGAAGAAAGAAAGAAAGAAAGAAAGAAAGAAAGAAAGAAAGGAAGGAAGGAAGGAAGGAAGGAAGGAAGGAAGGAAGGAAGGAAGGAAGGAAGGAAGGAAGAGGAGGGAGAGGGAAGATAGACACAGACAGAGGCAGAAAGAGACAGAGAAATAGGGAAGAGGGAGAAGGGGGGATAGAGAGGATAGAGAGACAGACAGAGACAAAAGAAAGAAAGAAAGAAAGAAAGAAAGAAAGAAAGAAAGAAAGAAAGAAAGAAAGAAAGAAAGAAAGGGAGAGGGGAAGAGACAGAGGTAGATGGAGAAATACACAAAGGGAGAGAATGAAAGAGAAAAAGATACAGAGAATAGGACAAAGAGAAGACAAAAATGAAGAAATAGAGATGGAGTGTCAAAGACAGAGAGACAGAAGAGGAGAGAAACATAAATAGAGAAAGGAAGATAGAGGGAGAGAGAAAGACACACAGAATGAGACAGAGATGGAGAAATAGAGAAAGAGAGAAAAGACATTTATTTTCAAAGCTAAACTCTTCATAGTGTCTTACACATAGTAAGGGTTTATTAAATGTTTGTTGAATTAAATGGGATTCCAGAAGAGGATTCACAATAGGTGCTTCTGAAGAGCCCATGGCCCTGACAAAAGCCAACACTGAAATGTGGGAACCTTGCCTCATGAAGGCTCTTCTACAAGGTCCATTGGCTGATGCCATTGTCTGAGTGCAGCCAACAGCTGAATTCTAGGCCAAGTTCAAGTCAGTACTTTGTATAGTCATGACCACTTTCTGAAGCCAGTTCTGGAGAAGGGTGTGGCAGTACCGAAAGGCTGCCTGATTCCAGCTGTCTTTGCCAAAAGTCCCAGATTCATAGAATGCTAGAGCAAGATGAGACTCCTGAGATCTTTCAGCCCAAGGCCTTTTTTCTACTTATGAGACAACTGTGGCCCATGTGCCCAAGGTCATGCCCAAGTGATTGAGTCATAGTCTTCTAGCGCCTGGGCACCATGTTCAGCCAGCCTGGAATGGCTAAGCTTCTTTTGTTGCTCTTTCTCCCCTTTGGCTTCCCATAGCATTCCACTCCACATTCTATGCTGGTGTCTTATCTCCCCTCCTAGATGGTAAGCTCCCTGAGGCCCCAACTACTGGATGGATAAATGGTAGATCTGATCCTTGATCCATTCAAGGCTGGACTCAATGGTTCCTGAAGGCCCTTCTGGCTGTGAAATGCTGGGATTATGGGCAAATGAGGCCCAAGTCTTGTTTTTCTTTCTCCCTTCTCCATCACCCCACACAGCACTCTGGACATATGAGGGTACTTAACATAGATTTCATAAATGAACCCATTTGCATTTTGTCTTTTCCTCGTCACGTGCCTAAAGCATTGTGTTCATATTCCATAGCCTGTGCTCCCATCGAACTCTAGAATAATATAAACCTATTTAAATGATACTTTAAGGTTTGCAAAGTGCTTGGTACATATTATCTTATCTGATCCTCCCACTGACCCTTTAAGATAGGTGGTGTTATCATCCTTATTTTGTGGATGAGGAAAGTGAGGCCCCAAGACTCAGTAAATGGCAAGACTCAAACCCAGGTTATGGGATCATCGATTTAGGGGTGGAAGGAAGTTCTAGAAGTCTCCTAGAAACGAAGGCTGTGGGAAGATGAATGACTTCCCCAGGGTAATGCAGCAAGGGTATGAGACAAGATTCAAACTTCAGTCTCCCTGATAGCTGAGCCAGCGCTCTATCCAATGCACCGCCAAGCTGTATTTGCCATTGTTCCCAGAACTGGCCCTGCTACCGGCTCACCTCTCTGTAAATGATTTCCCATCTATTAGCCTCAGGTTCCTGTATGTGCTTTATGTTTGATTTTCCAAGATTCCATCTCCAACTCTGACAATTTCTCTTCCTAGGTCTCTCTAAGCTCTGACATTCTATATCCTTAGGACCCTTCCAATCCTCATATTCTTTGTTCTGGGTTCCCTTCCAGTGCTGACATTCTACATTCTAACGTTCCATCTCCTAAGGTCCCTGCAGCTTCAACATTTTATCTTCTAATGCACATACCATCGTGGACATTTTGTATCTAAAGATCCCTTCCAGCTCTGACAGTCTACGCTCCAATAGTCTACATTCTGAGTGCACTTACAGCTGCAGCATTCTGTGTTCTATGATTTAAAGAGTCTCCAAACTTTATTGCTAGGAAATTCATCCTGATGTCAAACTAAAAATGCCATCAGCTGAAATGTGTGCCCATTCCAATCTATCATGTCATGAGTGGACTCCCCAAACAGCTGCTCACCACAATCCTTCAATCTCTCATCAGGTGGTAAAGTCCATCTTCTTCTGCCTTTCTCCTTCCCCCATTTCTTCAATGAAAACACACACAAACACCAACAAGAAGCCAGGAGGACTTTCCATGTATCCTTCAGAGAGCCAGCCATGGCAACACGCCCACCACCTCCTCAAAGGAAAGAATAATCTGTTTGCCCAACATCACCTACTTTCTTCAGTTTATCACAGTAATCATTCACATCAGTCCAAAGGGACCTTCCATGCTGTGTGTGTGTCAATCCCAGGGACTGCTTCAATGTGCTTGCACACAGAGGGTGCCAAATAAACATTTATGCCCTGTGCATACTTCTTCTGAACTCAGGCATGTGCTGAACCTTTTCTTGAACCTCAGGGAGCATAGCTATTTGCAAAAGGGAGAAATATAGGTCTGGTGTAGTGGCGGGAGCCTTGGAGCTATAGGTAAGATGCTCAGGTCCAAAGCCTTACCCTACATTCACCAGCTGCATTACCTTTGGCATGTGACTTCCCTTCTGCATTTATAAAATCAGTCATTGGACCCAATGAGATCTAAGGTATATTCTAGCTTCAAAAGCGTAAGTGGCAATACCCCTCCAAGGTCTAACATTCTAGGTTTCAAGGAGCCTTCCAACTCAAACACTGTGAAGTCTTCTCCAGCTCGGTACTCTAAGATGTTATGTTCTAGGCCAACATCTTATGTTCTGAGGTCCTTTCCAGCTCCAATATTCTATGCTCTGAAATTCTCTGTTGTAAGGCCCTTTCCAGCTCTGATACTCTACACTCAAGGTCACTCACTCATTCTTATTCTAACATTCTCTGTTCTAAGGCCCCTTCCAGCTGTGATATTCTACACTCAAGGTCACACATATTCTTATTCTAACATTCTATGTCCTACTGTCCCTTTTACCTCTACGTTCTAAGATTTTTTTTTGTTCCAAGGTCCTTCCCTGCTCCACTTTAAGTCCCAATGTCTTTCCGTAGCTCTAATATTCTATGCTCTAAGGTTCTTCCCAGTTCTAACAACATATGTCTTTAGGTCCCTTCCACCTGTGAAAGTCTACATTCCAAGGTCCCTTTCGGCTTTAATATTTGTGTGTTCTAATGACCCTTCTAGATCAACCATTCTAAGGTCCTTCTGAGCTTTGATGATATCGGTTCTAAGGTTCCTTCCATCACTAGGACTCTAAGCCCTACTCCCGTGTTCAGTGTTCTAAGGTCTGTAGCCACTCCATGATTTTGTAACATAGTCCTCCTCCTGCTATGAGGCTGTGGTTGCTTCCTAAGAGTTTGTGGTCAATGAGTCAGCCAACATGCTGACCTCGGTCAATCCTCATTTTTCATTAAAAGTTGCCTCAGACGTTCCCATCTCTTGCTGACCTATTCTTTGGCTGTAGTAACTCTCCACATTTCATGGAAACAGGGAAAACAGACATAAATAATGAATAGGTCATAGGGAAAGCATTTCAAATCTACTCTTTTAATTTATTTACATCCATCATCTACCAGGGTCAACAAAACTCCATAGAGAACTTATTTCTTTAGAAACTCCACAAGAATGAGGCCCAAGGCTGGGGAGAAATAGATCAGTGACTGAGGCTACAGCCATCAGCAGTAATTGAATTTTGAGGTTGTTTTTTTTTAATGTGTCTCTATCTATTTATACACATATATTATTTAATTAAATACAAGTATATTTTTTTGTATACATTTGTATATTGAATTAAATGTACATGTAATTTCTATATACATACATGTATTTCTATATGTTCATATAAATCTATACATGTGGATACACATACATACAATATGTGTATATATAATTATATAGATGTATATATATATATACATATATATATACATATACAAATATATCTGTATTCATACACTTAAATATGTATGTGTGTAGATACATATGTATATATGTGGGAGTCACAAAGGTAGACAGGGACAGAATTAGGATTAGAAAGCACCAGGGTCTCCCGAGGTCCAGGCCAGAGTGATTTGTAAAGATATGCCAAGAAGCTGGGTGAAATACCTTGCTGAAATCCTGATATAACATGATGTCCTCAGCACTTTCCTAATCTAAATCACTTCAGAAACCTATCAAAGTGAACAGTGAAACTTGGACATGATTGTGAGCCTACCCTATTATTTCAATATGGCCAGAGTCTTTAAAAATGTTTATTGGGGGTAGGAATTAAAGGGAGACACACTAGGTAAGCCTCAACCATCTCCCCACACACACTCATGCAGCCCTAGCAATCTGGCCTCTGACCTCACCACTCAACTGAATCCACTCTCTCAAAGGTCAGCCATGACAGTGGAATTGCTGAATCCAATGGCCCCTTCTCAGACCTCCTTGACCTTTCTTCAGCACTCAATGCTTTCGCTACACTAGCTCCACCTTTGGCTTCTCTCTGTGTTCTCCTCTGACCACTTTCAACCACTCCCTCTCGGTTTCCTGAACTGGTTCATTCATTCATTTGCTTCATCTTCCCCCCACGCCTCCCCAAGCATGTGTACTACTGAGATAGTAAGGTAAAAGACAGAGTGCTGGCCTCTGAGTCACAAAGATTGGGTCCAAATCTTGACTCAAATATTTATCAGTCAGGTGACCTTGGTAGGTCACATACCCTTTCACAGTCTTTGTTTCCTTATGAACTGGGAAGAATGATAATGCCAACTTCACCCTGTGTGAGGTCCAACATAATAAAGCACTTTATACATAAATGTGTACCACTATTATTCTTCTTCTTAAACATTCCCCTATTCCCCGTAATAATCTCTTCTGTGGGAGGCAATATGGCATAGTAGAAAAATGCAGAGCATGGAGGCTGAGCACCCAGGCTCAAATCCCCTCTCTGTCTCCTGTCTGTGTGACCTTGGACAAGTCATTATATTTGCGTGGTTCTCAGTTTCCTCATCTGTTAAATGAAGAGATTGGACTAGATATCCTCAGAGGTCTTTTCTAGATTTAAGTCTAGGATCCTAGGCTGACCTGGATTTGAATCCTGGAAAAGATGGTCTCTCAAGTTCCTTCCACCTCTTTGACCCTATTTATCTTGTCTGCTCTGATGAGTTCCATTATCACCTCCAAGCGGATGACTCCTAGGTTCATTATACTTTCTAACTTCTTCCCTGAGCTTTAGTTCACATCTGGAACTGCCTTTTTGGCATTTCTACCAAGACATCCCACAAGTAACTCAAACCTGGTATGTCCAAAATTCCACTCCATATCGCCTTCAACTCAACCTACTCATCCTTCTTATCACGGTGAGGTAGTCAGTGGGGCACCAGATTTGGAGACAGGAAGATCAGGGTTTAAATCCTGCACCAGATATTTACAGTATCTATGACTCTGCACCAGGCAGCATCCAGAATGTCCAGTCCCCTATGTAGCATGCAAGCTACTTGAGGGCAGGAATCACTTTATTTATTCCCACAGCTTAACACAGTACAGTGCCTTTCACAATGCTGATGCATAATAATTATTTCTTATATTGAGAAATGAATGTATAAGTTTGCACAAATTCCTACACCTCAGAGGCAGCTAGGTGGTGTAGTGAATAGAGTACCAGCCCTGGAGTCAGGGGGACCTGAGTTCAAACCCAGCCTCAGAAACTTCACACTTACTAGCTGTGTGACTGGGGAAAGCCACTTAACCCCCATTGCCTTGCAAAAAAAAAATCCTTTCTGGCCTCTGTTTTCTTATGGGTAAAATAAGTGGTTTTTGGTCTCTACCAACTCTAAGGTCCTTTGAAGAGCTACTATTCTATGTTCTAAAGTCTGGATCCCCTTCTAGCATGATAATTCTATGCTTTAAGTTCTAAACTTTTATGTTCTAAGGTCTCCTCCAGCTCTAGCTTTTATGTTCTAATACCCCAGCTGGCTCTAACATTCTATGTTCTAACATTCCATGTCATAAGGTCTTTTCCACTATATTCTTTGCACTAACATTCTATGTTTGAAGGTCCCTTTTATCTCTAACATTCTTTACCTTATGTTCTACAGTTACCTCTAGCTCCAAAATTGTATGTTCTAACATTTTACATCCTAAGGCCCCTTCCCTCTTGAACATTCTATGTTCTATGTTCTAACATTCTATTCCTAAAGTCCTCTCCAGCTTGAGCCTCCCATGTTCTATGTTCTACAGTATATCCCAGGTCTAACACTCTCTATGGTCTCTACCAGCTCTGAGACTGTTCTGGAGTCTCTGAAGAGCTGTAACATTGTAGTTTCCAGGGTCCCTTCCCATTTTGACATCCATTCTACATTCTAATGGTGCCTTCCAGCCATACCTTTCTGTGTTCTACAGTACAGGTGGCTGTATGCAATGACTTTCAATGCCTGAGCCCCAACTAAAGCTTGGAAGTCTTGTAATGGGTCCAGCATAGTTTGCTATGCTGATGGCATTTATTTTAATGGAATTTTATTTGTAGGAATCCTCCCTTGCATTTGATTAAAGGTTTGCTCTTTTTGAAATACTCCTACATTTGAATAAAAGGAAGCAGCCAGGTGACTGCTGGACATGGAGTCAGAAAGACCTGAGTTGAGTACAAATCCCGCCTCAGGTAATTCCTAGCTGTGTGACTCTGAGCAGGTCACTTAATCTCACTCAGTTTCCTCATCTCTAAAATGGGTAGAATAACAGTACCTCCCTCCCAGGGATATTGTGAGGATCAGTTGAAATAGCATATATACAAAGCTCTGCAAACATTAAAGTGCTATAAAAATGATAAATAATAAATAAAGAAAGAAAGAAAGAAAGAAATTATGAAGAGTATTCATGAATAGTATCATAAGCAAGTTGTAAATAAATAATGTCATGAATAACAACAAATCTTTCCCGTGTTCCTGAGCCTGCCAGATACCATCAAGGGGCCTGACTGCCCAGGGAGAGGGGGGCTTACTCCAACATAGTCTTTCACCTGTATTGTTCACATCGCACAAGTAGAGGGCGTTTTCCAGCTTTCGGAAGCGGTCCATCCATGTCTCCCTTTGGACCTCCTCGTTCCTCAGCTGGCTCAGATATGGCTGTGAGGCTGGTTGGATCTTCCTGCTGGCCTCGCTCCGCTTGGAGGCCCTTGTCTCAGGAGCAGGGTTTGCAGGGGGTGGCTCCCTGTCTTCTGTGTGTTTCTAGCAACAAAAACCAAACAGTTTTATGACAATAAGATAGCAATGCAGACAATCCCAAGGTTCCTTGGCAGAAGAATGGGCCACCCAGACATCAGGAACTGGGAGAAGTTTATGCTTCCCAAGCCAGGGAGGCCACATTTCAGGTCCTCAGTTCTGAAGGATGGTGCCTGTCAATGCCTGCTGGATAGGAATGACTCTGGTGAAGGATTTTGACATGAAATTCAACAAGGAAGGTCACTCTTCTGTCTTTAGCTCAGTCCTGGAGTGGGGGGGCTTGCTGGGGAGTCACAAAAAGTGTACTGGAGGGACAGCTAGGTGGCACAATGAATAGAGCACCAGCCCTGGAGTCAGGAGGACCTGAGTTCAAATCTGTCCTCAGACACTTGCTAGCTGTGTGACCCTGGGCAAGTCACTGAGTCCCAATTGCCTCAAAAAAAGAAGTATACTAGAAATGGGGAAGTCTGCAGTCTGGGCTCTGGACATGATTTAACTGAGACTGATCTGGCTTTATATTAATGTGGTCCAAAGAGGGGTAATGACCAGTGGAGTGCTTAGCATGAGTCCTAATGAGTGAACAGCAGTCAGTTGGCCTTGGGCCCAAGGTGCCCACATTGAGTGGCACTCTCTTAGCTCACTCCCGGTGCATGCTTCCTCCCATCTTCCAGATCCCTTCCCCTAACTCAGCCCTCAGGTAACTATAGCCGAAGCTTATCCTGTGCCCTCTGGCCTGTCCTTGGCAATAGCAGCCTTGTCCTGGGCAGCCTCTTTCAAGGACATGTTTGCAGTCATACCCTCGTGCATGCCCTCCACAAGCATCCAGTCAGAAGATTAGAGATTTGAAGCTGGAAATGACTTCTTAGCCTCCTAGTCTGACTCTCTCATTTACCATATGGGGAAACTGAGGTCCAGAGATAGGGAGTCACTTGCCTAAAATTGCTTGTCCTCCAGGAAGCCTTCTGCAGCCCCTCTTCATTCTAGTGCCTCCCCTCTCTGACTTCCTATTTATCCTACACACAGCTTGTTTGTACATATCTGTTCGCTTGTTTTCTCCTCCATCAGAACATACACTTCTGGTGCAGGGAATGCCTTTTGCCTCTTTTGTATCCTCAGGTTTAGCACACTTCATGGTACATAGTAGGCACTTAATTTATTTAATTTTTTTAATTGACTGATATGAGTAGAGACAGAGCTAGGCTTCAAAGTTAGGTCCTTGTTCTTTCCCCATATTCTCCTCAAGCCCTTCAGGAGCGTGGAAACCTTTCACAGTACCCTAGACCATACTTGTCACCCCCTGGTAGATCCATCCTGACCACCTGCCTCTCTCCTCTGTTTTGACTTTAGGAACATGAACTTCTTGAGAGCATGGTTGGTGTTTCTGCTTTTCTTTGTGTGCTTAGAACATGCTTATTGACTGATTGACACTTCCCTAAATTGGAAAGATAGTTCTACAGAGAATCCAGCCCTTGAAATGAGCTGTTGAGTATAGGTACTGAGTCTTCCATAAAAGCCTAGTATTGAGGACTGGCCTGCTCAACCAGACCTTCTTAACCTTTGGGCCTGCCTTTAAAAGAATGACAATTATTTCAATAAAACTTTGTAATGCTATGTATTTTATATAATGTACTTAAAACATTATTCTGAGAAGGAAGGATACTTAGGCTTAACCAGAGGGGTTTGGGATACACAAAAAGGTCAAGAATTCCTACTCTGAGGAGAGACATTACTATATAATGGAGAAAGTCAGATTTGGGGTCAGCTGATCTAGGTTAAAATCTTCACTCTACTACTTACTACCTATGAGACACTAAGAAAGTCATTTCCCTTCTCTTGGGTTTGGTTTCCTCTTCTGTAAAAATGAGGGGACTGGGATAGTTCCAAATCCCTTGACCCTATGAAACTGTGTCCTTTGAGATGAACTGAAGGAAATTGGAAGGGTTAGCCTGGAGAAGAGAACACTATGGGGAACATGGTAATTGTCTTCAAATATTTGAAAAGCTGATACGGGGAAGAAGGCTTGGACTTGGTCAGCCTGGCCCCAGGGGCAGGAGCGCTGGGAGGATGTTATAGAGAGGTGGATTTTGGCTGGGAAAAAAGGGGGGAGGGGAATCTTCCCAACTTTCTAATGTTATGAGTTCCTTGTTAACAAGGGTGTGCTATACTCAACTGCAAACCAATTTTTCACAAAAGGCTAAGTGGGAAAAAAACTTAAAAATTAATATTGCCAGTGGCAAAAATGGAGGCTGGTGTGAACTGTAAGTAGTGAATGCTTATGTTGCTACGATGGAATTCCTTTGCTGGGGCTGACAGGTTCCAGCTGACATTTTGGGGAACCCCAGGGCACTTCTGGGGCCCCACATGCCCATCAGGGGTTGCTCCTCTGCTCAGGACTGTCTAGGGCTCCCTACTCTGGCAGGCAGGTAACATGCATTTAAGGCTTACTAAGTGCCAGACACTGAGGATACAAGAAAAAAAAAAAAAGGAAAACAGTTTCTGTCCTCAAAGAGCTTACAATTCCTCACTTGTAAAATGGAGGCCTTGGCTTAGAACCATTGAAACTATAGATGTCTTCTTAGGCCCCTCCTGGTTGGAAATCCTGTGATTTAAAACTAACAAAAGCTGACATTTTCTGTATCTCTGAGAAGTCAGTCAATCGGTCCATGAGCATTTCCTAAGTTGTAGCTGTTCAGTCATATCTAATTCTTTAGGGTTTTCTTGCTGGTGATACTAGAGGGGTTTGCCATTGCCTTTTCCAGATTATTTTACAAATGAAGAAACTGAGGCAAAGAGGGTTAACTGACCAGCCCAGAATCACAGCTTGTAAGTGAGTGAGGCAGGATTTGAACTCAGGAAGTCTTCCTGATTCCAGGCCTGGCGTTCTCTCCCCTGTGCCATCTAGCTGCCCTATAAGTACCTGCTACCAATCCCAGGCACTGTGCTAAGCTAAGGATATAAAGAAAAGGAAAAAACAGTTCCTGTCCTCAGAGAGCTCACATTCTAATAGGGAAGACAAGAGACAAATAACTAGTTACTTACAAACAAAGATATAGATATGCATACACACATATGTACAGGATACATATATGTATGGATATGTTTTTATATGTAAATACACGTGTGTATACATATATACAATATATCAATATATGTGTATATGTATGTGTGTATATGTATATAGACATGCACATATATTATGTATCTATATTCATATTTACATGGAAGGTGACCTCAGGGGAAAAGCATTACTGTAATCCCAATGGGGGTGCTAAGGAGAGGCCTCCTGCCAGAGGTCATCCTTAAAGGTTATTTGGAGTAACCCCTATCTGAAAAGGCATTTAAGTATCCCTGAGAGGTGGCTTCTGAACACTTCTAATGAGGGAGGGTAGGTCTGCCGATCTGGCTGCTGAGGTCCTGTGGGGAACCTCTGAGCTCCCCAAGCAGCCCCATTCCCTTCTGGGACAGCTCTCATGATAGGAAGGTTTTTTTCTTTACCTCAAGACTTGGTGAAAAGTACCTCTCTTCAAGGAGTTTCTTTTTAACGGGGAAGACAACATGCATATAAATTGGTACATAGAAGATAAATTCAGAATATATGGAAGGTGGCCCTATAATAAAGAATTTCCCCATCCCCCTTAACGCTACCGCCTTCCTTCTGCTTATTTCCTCTAGTTTTTCCTCTTTAGAGTTGTTCGCACATTGCCTCCCCCTTTAGACTTGAGGGCAGGGACTGTCCTTTTCTCTGCTAACCCTAACCATCCCTGTCACTTATCCCAGTGCTTGGCACATAGTAGGGGCTTACCAAATGCTATTTGACAGACCAACAAACTGATTTTATCTGTCTTTTTAAGGTTTGTAAAACCCTTTATACCATTATCTCATCTGATCCTCACAATAACCCACTGACACCAGGAAGATGATAATCCCTGTTTTGTAAACTGAGGCTTTGAGAGGATAAGAGAGCAGTTTAGGAGCCTGGTGTCTTCCACATCAGATTGTAAATCCTTGAGGGCAGGGCTGTCTGGTTCAACACTATCATTCTATAGATGGGGAAACTTAGGCCCAGGGAAGTTACCTTACTTGCTTAAGGTCACACAGGCAACATAAGATACTTCTTCTTTTTAGGTCTAAAGGGAAGAATGTGGGACAGTGGGTAGAAATTGCAATGAATCAAAATTAGACTTGATTTCAGGAAAAACAAACAACCCCCTCCCCTCTAAATATTTAAAACTTGGAGTTATTCATAAATGAGATGGATTTCCTTGGGAGGCAGGGTGTCTAAATCTCAGTTTGATCACCTCTAATATGAGGGCTTGGGGTTAGTTTAAGAGCGAGGTCAGAGAAAACTCCTAACAATTGTATCTAAGTGCAATAAGTTCTAGCAGAATGTGGTGGGTCTGGGACTCGGTTTCCTCATCCGCAAAAAGAGGAGATTAGGACTTCAGTGAATGGCTTTGATTGGAAACTGGAATTTCTCATCAGGAATGTTCACAAAGGAATTCATGTCCAAGTACAGCTGGACTAGAGGGAGTCTCAGGTTTCTGCCAACTGTAAAATCCTGTGATTCTGTAACTTACTGATCTCCAAGGTCTCTGAGCTTGATATCCTAGGCTAGTAGAATGAATGCAGTCAGGTGATCTGTGTGGCTTTGGGCAACGTATCACTTACCATCTCCAGGCCTCAGTTTCCTTTCAAAAAGGAATTGTTTCATTTTTTTTTGTCTGTATGGCTCGTGCCCAGTACAGTGGCTGGCACTGAAACCCATGCTTGCTGATGGTTGATCTGTAAAATGAGGGGGCTAATCTAAAATGAAGGACCATTAAGTGCTGAGGTCCCTTCCAGCCCTGGTTTAACCCACCAATGATACAAAGCCAAGGATTTGCATGCTCAACTGGAGTTTTCTTATTAGATACAGGGGAAGCCACTTGTCCCCATCCCCTGCCTCACCTCTTTCTCTAAAGAAGGGAGATGAGGACCTGCCCATAATACTCTGTTGTCAGAGAGACTGGAAAGAAAAGAGGCAAGCATTTTTCCCAAACAGACTTAACACTCCCTTGCAAAAGCATTTGCTGTTGTTTCTTGGAGAAAGTGAGAGAGAGAGAGAGAGAGAGAGAGAGAGAGAGAGAGAGAGAGAGAGAGAGAGAGAGAGAGGAGAGAGAGAGAACCCTGCCAAAATGGGTACTACTTTCTAAAATATTTTAACTATGAAGTGTGTGAAGAGGCCTTCCTTTACTTGAAGATGAATGATGTTCTACTCTGAGGGTATTAAACATGCCAGCCACACTCAGTCTGTTCTTTACCTCTGTTTGCATTCCTCTCCCCAGGAGAGAGTAGCTCCAGATATTAGAGGGGCTTTTAAATGCTGGCCCAAAACTTGGGTCCTTTATCAAAGGGCCCATTACATTCTTAAGGGTGACACGTGGGTGAAAAAGGTCTCCTTGCTCCTTAGGAAGATGGACTTCTGATGTTAAAAGAGACCTCATAACCACTCTTTATTTTGACAGGAGTCTGTGTATTATTCATGCACTTCCACAGAAAGCAGACAAACTCCAAAGCTGGAGAATAGGCCCAGGTCCCTTGGGGGGAGGTTGTAAGGGAGTATGATGAGGGGGGTTAGAATGGTCTGAGATTCCTCGGGGCAATGAAGCAAGCCAGTGACAAGCCTTTACCTACAAGTTACACCCAAAGGAAATTAGACCCAGAAGTTCTGTCCCTTGTCTCTTATCTTGGCCTTGGAAACTCCTGGAGCAAAAGGATTTTGGTGACAGAAAAGGAGAGCTTTGGGTGGTCCTAAAATGTACCAGGCAACATGGTTTCACATAAAGAACATCCATTGTGTACTATGAAGCTCCAGGCTCACCTGACTTCCTTGTTTCAGCTGTATGACCTTGGACTTTTTAGTTCAGTTCTTTAGGTTTTAGTAGCCTCATTCCATAAAATGTAGATGCCCTTCTAAGTTCTAAATATTAGTTCTGTTTAATATTGTAAGAGGAAAAGCACAGGACCAGGAGCTGAAAGATCTGGATTCTATTTAATACGAACAAGTCTCTTGTAGTAGTAATGGCAGTGGCGGTCTTGATGATAACGTAGCAGCAGCAGCAGTAGTAGTGCTGGTAGTAGTCTTTTGCCTCTTTTTGTATCCCTAGCATTTAGCACAGTGCCTGGCAGATAATAGGCACTTAATCAATGTTTATTGATTGATTATAGGGGTGGTGGTGGTGAGGGTGGTAGTAATAATAATGGTGATGGTGATGATGATGATGATGATATTATTTAGAAAGTGCTTCAAGGTTTGCAAAATGCTTTGTATATGCATTATCGTCTTTGATCTACACAACATAGTTCTTGGTTTGCATTATAGAGCCCTTCTCAACCTACCTGTTGAGAAGTCCTGTCACACTTACTTCCTTGTGCCCACTTCAATCCAGTCACAATGGCCATTTCCTCAAGCATGATAATCCATTTCCCACCTTCACACCATTGTACTAGCTGTCCTCTGTACCTTAGAGGCACACCTTCCTCACCTCTGCCACTTTGAATTCCTCTGCTTCCTTCAAAGCTCAGCTCAAGGGTCTCCTTCTATAGGAAGCCTCATCTCACCAGTGGTTAGTTCCTTCCCCCAGCTTCAGTTTCCTCTTTTATAAAATGGGAATAATGATTCTAACTCTTTCTATTCCTGTAGGAATAATAAATAACTTCAATTCAACTAAAAAAAATTATTAAGCACCTATTAGGTTCAAGTCACCATGCTAGGCCCTGGGGACCAGATGAAAAACAAAAACAGTCTCTACCCTCAGAGTGTTTCCATTCTATTGAGGGATGGTATATAGATTGAATAAAATAATAAGTGCTAAAGTATTTAGGCAATGTAAAGAGTCACTGAAATGTGGCATTACAATTACTGTTATTTTTGAATGACTGACTCAAAAACCCCTAGCCCTGGTCCTGACCCCCACAGAAACTTACAAGGTTCTCAGTCGGGCTTTCAGTCTTCTCTGAACCTCTAACAGCCAAAACAGTAGATGGAACTTCCTCTTTCTTTGTTCCTAATAATAAAAATTAAAAAAAAAAAGAAAACAATATAACAATTCACATGTCAAGAACACATGAAGATGCAAACGTGATTCCTGGACTTGTCATTTCACTGGTATAGCAACCTCCTAGGGAAGAAACCACCCGGTCTTAGAGAGCTGCCTAAGGCACTGAGTGGTTAAGCCAGTAACTCAGAGTCACACAGTCAATGTGTATCAGAGATGGGATGTGAACTACAGTACTGCTAACTCCAAGGCTGGCTCTGTCTCCACTTTGCAGCACTGCCTCTTCAAGGCTAAAAAATGAGTAGAAAAAGCAAACAGGAGCATGGGGAGAATTTCTTTCAGTCTCAGTAAGAAGAAAACCAAAATGATTTAATTTACCTGGTTTGGGTCACAAGGCAGTAATGCATTATTATTATAAGGTAAAGAGCCTTGAGTTGGGAGGGAGTGAGGACCCAGTGGTGATAGTCCTGGATCTGTCACTGGCTTACTATGAGGTCTGAGGCAAACCTTCCTGAGCCACATTTTTCTCTCCTCTGTAAAATGGTCATGGACGTAAGGGCTGGGGAAGGGATGAGTATAATTATATTAGTACTACTGATGTCCTTGTGCTGTTGGGAGCGTCTTGAAGAAATCCAAATCCCTTATTCTTACCTTCACCCCCATACCAACTTTTCTCTTTCCTAGGTCAAATCCTCACTTACTTCCATTGATTCTCCTATGACATGGTTCCCCTACTCTTTTGCTGTCCTGAATACCCTAATTCCTGGACACATTGCAGTATGTGGGAAGCCAGACACAAGGCTTTTTTTTTTTCCCCTTCATTTTGTCTTTTACCCCATCCTAAACACATAGGTTATCCCAAAGCTGATTGGGCCAATACCTAATGATTCCAGGGGGCTGGCCAACCCAATCCAGATGTTAGAAATAAACTTGAAGAACAAGGGGGTTCATGCAGAATTTATCAGCTTAAAAGGTAGGATTAGTAACACACACACACACACACAAACACACACAAACAAGATTTGGGGAGATCAGAGTTGAATCACCAGCAGCTAGGGGACAACACAGGACATAGAGCAGTGGACCTGGAGTCATGAAGAACTGCCAGCTTTAGACACTTAATAATTGTCCAAAATAATATATGTGAAGCATGTCGCAAACCTTAAAATTCTGTATGAATGGTAATTATCATCATCATCATTAACAAAATGTGATGCTGACTGAATTGTGGGATCGCTAACTTAAGATCTGAAGGAACCATAACAGATATGGTACAGAGGAGACAACGATGGGCTTTGAGTCAGGGAGACTTGGGTGTAAGTCTCATTTTAGATACTTGTTAGTTGCGAGGCATCCCACTCCTCTGAACCTGTCTCCTCCTCTGTAGAGTGGGAATAATAACACCTGTGTTACCTTTGTCACAGGATAGTTAGACACAGGAAATGAGCTAAGGCCTGTAAAGCCCTGTTCAACTTTAGAGTATGATAACAACAACAGCATAACAATAATAGTGATGATGGCGATGATGATGACTATTGTTATAATTATTGCTGTTGATTATATTATTATTTTTAAGGAAGTTGCAGAGACAGTATTGCAAATCACGGTCAGCTGGCTGAATTCAGTGCTCCTTCCACTAGCTCTCAGTTGCACCCTCTATAAAATGAGGGGGTGGGCTAGTTCAGGAGTCATCTGTGAACTTGTCTTTATTACGTTTTTGATAGCTGTATTTCAGCATACTTGTAATTCTTTGTGCTGCATTCTATACATTTTAAAGCATTCTGAGAAGTGGGCCATAGACTTCACTGGACTGCCAAAGGGGTCCAGGACAAAAACAGGGCTTAGATTCCTTGAGCTAAATGCACTAAGATTTTGCCCCTTCACATGGCCTGTGTTGAATATCACAGGATTTTTGTAAAACCCCTAAATTATAAAATCCACAGCTATGACTGTAATTGCCTGAGAAGCAGGCAGTAAGTAGGGGTTGTGGAGATGTAGACCTCAGCTCCCATGAAGACCAGTTCTTTCTTTGTCTTCTGCTGCTCTCGGGGCTGCTGGTTGGCACCCTTTCAATTGACGGTGAGAAGCAGCCTGGCTCAGCTGACTTTCTTGTACACTGTGATAAAGTGATCACTGCGGCAGTGTGACTGCAATCATCAGAGAGGAGATTTTCTGGGAAATGAGCTCCTGAGCATTTCTGGGCAGAGCCAGATTGTCTCACACTGCCTGACTTGCTCCCCAAAGTATAATGCATAGAATTATTGAGAGCCTCAGAGACGGGCACTAAGAGTCAATCAGTCAGTCAATGAGCATCTATTAAGTACTTGCAACATGCCACATACTCTGCTAAATGTTGGGAATATCAAAAAAGGTTAAAAATATATTGTTTCCACCCTCAAGAAACTCCCATTCTAAAGAGGGAGACGACACGCAAACAACTATGTACATACAAGATGTAAACAGAGCAAGTGGAAGGAAATCTCAGAGGGAAGACACTACCAGCAAGTGGTGGTGGGGAAGACCTGGAAAGGTCTCCTGCAGAAGGTGGCCTTTGAGCTGGGTCCCGAAAGAAGCTGGGAGGTGGCGACAAGGATGGAGGCTATTCTGGGCAACAGGGGCAGCCCGTGAAAAGGCATAGCATTGTGAGTTGATTGACAAAAACCAAGAGGACCAATGTCATTAGATTATGGAGTACATGGGGGGCAATAAGGTAGAAGAAGGCTGACAAGGTAATGAGGCCAGGTTCTGAAGGGCTGAACAGAAGAGTTTTCTATATGGTCCTGGAGGTAAGGGGAGGCCACTGGGGTTTATTGAGTGGGGAGGTCAGATCTGCCAAGGAAGATCATTTTGGCAGCTGAGTAGATGATGAACTGGAACTGCAAGAGACTTGAGACCAGGGACCTGCCTGCAGGCTATTGTGATAGTCCAGCGTTCAATCACGTCTGACTCTTGGTAACAGCATTTGGGGTTTTCTGGGCAAAGATACTAGAAGGGTTTGCCATTTTCTTCCTCAGCTTATCTTACAGATGGGGAAACTGAGGCAAACAGGGTTAAGTGACTTGCCCAGGGTCACACAATTAGTACGTGTCTGAGGACAGATCTGAACTCAGGAAGATGATTCTCCCTGACTCCAGGCCCGGCGCTCTATGTCGCCTAGATGCCCTGTGGCGATGAAGTTAGAAGGCAGAAATATGAGAGCATGCAGTAGTTGCTCTAGGCGGCATCATATAGTGAAACGAGGAATGGAGTTGGAGTAAGAGGACATAGATTCAAATCTCACCTTCGGTTCCTTTTTCCTTGAGTGACCTTGGGCAAGTCATTTAACTTTCTGGGGCCTCAGTTTCCTTTTAGGTAAAATGTATGGGGGAGGGTTGAGCTAGATGGCCTCTGAGACCCCTTTTAACTCTACATCTAGGATCTAATCCAAGTACTGCATCCTCTCCCCTTCCCTCTCTCCCTCCACACTTTCCCTTTCTTTCTCTGTGACCTCATCAGTTCACATGGACTTAATTGGTTTCTCTCTGTAGTTGAATCACAGACCAATACATACAAGCCCAGTCTCTCCCTTGAGCTTTATTTAGTCCCACATCACAAACAGCTGTATGCCCCAGAGAAATCTTAGGCTCTGCACATCTAAAGCAGAATTCACTGTCTCTCCTCCCTCCCCTCCCATCTCCCCAGGAGACAATGCCTGCACATAGTAGGTGACTAATAAATGCTTTTGACTTGACACATTGTGGGTGCTTAATAAATTCATGTTGTTAGAACGATTAACTCCCATCTACTTCCTTACATTGAGTTTCAGCTAGCATGCCTCATGCTATCCAATCTGAGTAGCAGACTTCTTTCTTTTTCCATCTTCCTCTTTTCCCTAAAATAGCTAATCCAACTCACTCTGTTGCTGTTAGCATTTCCTGCCAGGCTCAGCTCATTCTGCTCTTCAGAGCTCCTGATGTTATTCTTCCAGAAAGACAGCACACTTGTGCATTTATCCCCAGATACTTGCCCTTGCTTCTGTGCCTTCAAGGGTCTCTTCAAAACCTAAGCTGGTCGGTAAATTCACTGAGTATGCATATTCATCTCTTTAGACAACTCTCCCTTTTTCTCTTCCATGGAATTATTTCTCTGAGTCTTCAGAATTCCATTCCTAAGTGATTTCCATCGTTCATAAGCTGACCTTCTTGAAGAATTTTTGTCTATAGAATGATACCTATTCCCTCTCTTCACCCTTTGAAATCTACTCCTTTCAAATTGTGAATGTATGACATGGTTTTTCTCTCCTCTTTCATAAATTTCTGTATCTAAGGATTATAGATTTCAATCTGGATGCCATCTTAGAGGTCATTCATCCAATACCTCATTTTACAGAAGAGAATATTTAGACCCAGGGAGAGAGAAAGGACTTACCCAAGGTCACACTAGTAGAACTGGAAGAACTGGAACCCAGGTCCTCCATCTCCAAATTTCCCCCATTTCACATCATGTCTGCTTTAGCAGCCAAGCCCTCCTTGCTGGTCAGAATCAGATCCAGGTTATCATAGGCTTTCTAATCATCTCATTTACCTTTTGAGGCATAATTAAACTAGGTGCTTTGGAGGGGCTGGCTTATCATGTCTTCCAGATATGATCTAGGCAATAAAACCAGGGTACTGACCTGCAGCTTTGGGCAAAGGAGAAGCCTCGTCCAAGGAAGCTTTGATCAAGAACTCCATCAATTTTTGCCATCTGTGCAGGAAGAAAAACAGAGTGACTGAAAGGAAAGTTCCTTTTGGGCTGAAATAATGACCAATAAAATTACCAGAGGCAAGAATTTAAAACCAGAGAAAATAATCCAAATCAAAGAATTTGCTAGAGAAAAAAAAATCATTCATTCGTTCATTCAAACAATTATAAAGCCCTATTATGTGGTATTTCTGGGCCCTTCTAAGATCTCTTTAAACTCTGCAATTCTTTGTTAAGAACAATTCCCCTTATCTACAAATCTCCTTATCTAGCAACCCTATGGAAAATGGAGAAGGGTTAGTGTGATAAGACTTATTCTTCTTAAAGCCATGTTCTTACTTTGTGATCATTGCTTCCACATTTTACTGTTCCCTAACAAGTCTTTTAATCACTCAATCCAGGTTTTGTCCCATACCCTTCTAACCTAACACATCCCCAACTTTGTCAACTTGAAAAACTAACATGCTTTCTGTTTCCATTAAAGACTTGTTAATCTAAGCACCTAATGTTTCCTCTGTCTTCAAAAATCATCCTGCTTGCTCTTGGCATTAGAATAACAGGCATTTTCTACCCATCACATTCAGAATAAGAGGCCAGATGTGCCTGCAAAATCCTACTTGTGGCTGCCAGGCAACTGCACTCATTGCTCTGAAATGTTAAAGATGTCAGCACATTAGTTTTATTATCCAAAGTCTCTCTGCCTCTCACGTCATCCCCATATACTCTGACTTTCAGGCTGTAGCAGTTATCTATAGCCTTTATTTATTCCAAAGAAATGATCAAATTGTACCACTGCTTCTTTAATCCCCTTCTTCCCTAAACTCCTATTTACTGCAAAAACATCCTTCTTCCTTCCCAAGCACTGAGATTCCATTGGTGTGTGTGTCCCCTCCACCACTTCTCTATGACATGGGTCCCTACCTCTCTGCACCTTAATAGACAGTTTTTTGGGTTTCTGTGGCTAAACATATTCATAGATCATGGATATGTCACAGAAGGCCATCTAGTTCAACCCCCTCATATTGAAGATAAGGAAACTGAATTCCAGAGAATTAAAGTCATACATTAAATGGCAGAGCTGAGTTTCAAACTCAGGTTTAATGACTTAGTTCAGGTCTTGTTCCCCTATACCTCATTCACAATGTGGTGGTCATCTTCCTGGATATTAGGCTCTCTAAACTTAGCTAGACTGGTCTTTTGACAATAGCCACTCAGCCTTGTATGAGTCTGTAAAGTATATCCAGCTTGGAAAGACATAGGAGAAATGTTCTCAATAGGCATTATCTTTTAACAATAGAGGGTCCTCTCAACCAACAGATTAGAAAAAAAAAAAGGTAGGGGGAGGGGAACAAATATGGAAACAGTCAATGTTGGAGGGGCTAGGAAAAAACAGGCACAATGGTATTCTATTAGTGGATTTATGATCTGGGCCAAGCATTCTGGAAAGCAATTTAAAACTAGGCAAAGAATGTAACTCACGTGTCTGTATTCTTTGACCCAGAGAGGCCAGTGTTAGGCATATACTTCCAAGTATGTAGAAGACCAAAAGGCAATTCACAATTATACCAAAATATTCATAGTAGCACTTATTTTTTGGTGGTAAAGAAATGGAAATAAGGAAGGTGACTATTGTTTGAGGAATGGATAAATCTTAGGGCCTCGAGTCAGAAAGACTCATCATCTTGAGTTCAAATCTTGCATCAGAAACTGATTCGCTGTATCAAATCACTTTTGCCTGTTTGTCTCAGTTTCCTCATTTGTAAAATGAGCTGGAGAAGGAAATAACAAATTACTCCAGTATCTCTGCCAAGAAAATCCCAAACGGGGTTATAAAGAGTCAGGCGTGACTGAAACAATTCAACAACAGTAAAACATTGCTGTCCATTAATATAGTTAAATACTATCGTGCTACAAGAACATATAAACAATAATAATAGCATTTACGTAGTACTTAAAGATTTGCAATGTGTTTTCAAAATGTTATCTTGTTCTATCCTCCCAACAAATGTGGGAGGCAAGTGGTAATAATAATTATTAAAAAATTATTAATAATAATAGCACCTAAAGTGTTGAATATAGGGAAGTTTGGGAAAACTTATGTGACCTGATACAAAGCAAAATAAGTGAAACCAGAAAGAAAAAAGTATACTTAAGGATTGAAACAATATAAATAGAAGGAAAAATAAATACTACCAAAAAAAAAAAACCTGAACCAAGTATAATTATAATGACCTAGCTTGGTCACAAAGAAGAGATGGGAAAATGCATATCCTTCCTCTTTTTGCCGAGATGGGAACTATGATGTAACATTGCATATATTATAAGTCTTAGTTGATTTGTGAATTAGTTTTGCCAAACCACTATGGTTTTTTTTGTCTCTTTTTTTCTTTTTGTTACAAGGGAGAAGGATATATTTGAAAATTAAGATGATGTAACAACAAAAAATAATAAAAATTATTATTATTGGCTCTATCTTTTATTTTATAATTTATATTATGCATCCGTTATTTTAAAGAACAACTCAGGGTCACATTTTTATAATGAGGCACCAAAGTATGACTTTAGTGGAAATTGCACAACAGACAAATAGAAATCTAATTTTGGCTCCAATCCGCCCAACCTGAGCTCATCTTACAGAAAGGCAATTCTGAGGGGGAGATCTGATGAGTCCAATCCACTCTGTCTCTTGTGAAATCTCCCACTGTGGCAGCCACTCACTCAATTCTCTCCTCATTTGTGAATAAGGGAAGAACAAAAGAAGTCATTGTTTAAAAAAAATCCTGCAGTAAACGGGGGCAGAGAACATAGCTTCCTTCACCAGCTCTTCCAGGGAGACAGTTTCAGACGGGGTGGGGAGGAGCTCCTTCTCTTTGGTGAGGTGGGGGCTAATCCCGCATCACCCTAATCCTTCCTGATGTCTTATTGATTTTAAGGATATTTAATCAGGAAGTGGCTCCAAGCTGGAATCCTGCTAATTACCCAGCAGCCGCTTTCCAAACAGGCACCCGATTGGACAGAGGATTAATGGAAAATATGCCCTAAAATAGGGATTCATGAATCTCACTCCTGAAATGTGTGTCTATATTGTATTTTTAATCTCTTAAAGACATAAGGCTGAATATAAAACCCTTGACAAAATGGGTTTATGTCAATACGAAGCTTTAGCTAGTGGCTGGATATGGGTGGAAGAGATTTATCTCATAGGGGAGTAATTCCCTCCTGAAGGTCACTGTCATGACGTCCTTGGCTATCCTAGAGAGTAAGGACAGAGAAATCTAGAGTTCCAGGCACTCCCCAGCAATTTGGATCAAAAAAAAAAGTGGGCGGAAGCACACAGTCACTGAAATAGTACAGTGGAAGCCTACCTCCCTTATTACTTTCTGAGTTTCTATCCTTCATCAGAAGACTAGCTCTCCCCTCCACTCTCTCTTCCATCAAAGGCTTATTTTGAATGACCAACCCATACTATTTTTCAGGGGTGGGGGAGAGGTATGCTAACCTATTCCATCACCTAGCTCTCCCTCCCTCCACCTGCAAAATTGATGTGGACACAATCAAAGAAGGGAAGGGAGGCAGATGAAAGAGATGAGCCCAAACCACCTTGATTTCAAAGGGCTATTAGAGTCAGGGGTGAGGCTAATGCCTACCTGATTCTCAGGACTGCTCTTCCCTCCCAAGGAACAGAGGAAGGGTGGAAACAGCTCACATCAAACACTGCTCTTGCTCTTGGCAACTCTAAAGAGAATGTAAGGGAAGGCCTGGTGATCTCACTCCCTGCTTAGGCAGCCCCATTAGGTCGTGGTTTTCAGAGGTGGTCTTTGAATTCTCTTTTTCACCTTCTACAAACTTCCTCACTCTGATCTCTTTGTTTCTAAGGTCATGGAATCACCCCAGATACCCACAGACAAAACCAGATTCCTTTGATTCAAGCCACACTTGGGCTTAATCTAATTAGATGCAATTTAATAGGGATGATTGGGAAGTCACATACTTGGGTTAAAAAAAAAATCGGCATCACAAATATAAGATGAGACAAACATGGCTCAGTTGTGGGATCTGGTTTTCTTTCTTTTTTCTTTAATAAAGACGGAATGAACGAATGAAAAGCACTTATTGAGCACTTATTATGTGACAAGAACAGGGCTGAGCACTGGTAAGAAAATATGAAAGCCAGTCAATGATTACAGAGAGCTCATGTTCCAATAGGGAAAGATGACACACAGAGCATCTGGAGACCCTAGTAGACACCAGGCTCAACGGGAATCAACAATGTAATATGGCACTTGGCATTTATTAAGCGCCTACTATGTATCAGGCACGTGCTGAGTTCTGTGGGTACAAAGAAATGTTGAGGGCCAGGGAGATGGCAGCACTACTGTTCATACCATACCTGGCCTACTGTGTGCTCCTAAGGGGAGGCATTGCTTCATTTCAGTTTGTTTCTCTAGACCACATTTTAGGAAGAATATTGATAAGTTGGAGACAGTCCAGAGGAGGATGCCCCTCGTATTGAAGGGTCTCAAGCCACCTGAGGATGAGTTGTAAGAGGGGGGATGCTCAGCCTGGAGAGAATTGTGGGGAACAAGGGAGTTGTCTTCAGGGATCAGAAGATCTCTGGTGTGAAAGAGAGACTGCCTTGCTTGGCTTGGCCCAGAGGACAAAACAAAGAACAATAGAATATGTTGCAAAAGAGAAAACTTACAATATGGTTAGAGAGTGGGGCCTGGAGTCAGAAAGACCTGAATTCAAATCTGGCCTCAGAACACTAGCTGTGTCACCCTGGGTAGGTCACTTAACCTCTGTCTGCCTCAGTTTCCTCATCAGTAAAAATGGGATAATAACAGCACCTACTTCCCAGGGTGTGGTGGGGATTAAACAACATATTAGTTGTGAAGTGCTTCACAAACCCTAAAGCTCTACAGGAATGTTACTTACAAGTGTTTCCTGTTAGGTGAAGTCTTTCCTGATTCCTCACCCCACCTGCCAGTTGTTAACAGCCTCTCCACTCAATATTACTGTGAATTTTCTAGTTATTTGTCACACATTGTGTCTCCTCCATAGAATGTAAACTCCTTGAGGGCAGAGCAATTTCATCTTTTTGCTTTTGTATTCCTAACACCTGGCATAGCGCTTTGACCATAGAAGGCACTCAAGAAATGCTTATTCAATGAATTAATACACGGGCTTCAGCTACAGTCTGTTTGGATTGAGAATCAACTTACTTGATTTCATCTTGTACATTCAAATCCTGGTGGCTACACAAAGCCCCCATCAGTGAAGGGGACAGACTGAGTCCATGTTGCTCACAAATAGCCTTGACCTGAAAATCAGGAAGTATTTTAAGTTTGGACAGGATGAACACAATCCCTTCTATTCTCCCATCCCCTCCGCCACTAACCCATACCTTCCAAGGTGAAGAGGTGTTCTAGGGCAGCCACTGTCTCCCCCCTAAGCAACAATCCCTGTGCCTTCTTCCCCAAGCCATCAGGGCACCATTTACCATGGAGGGCCCTTGAAGGAATGGATAATAGGAGCTCAAAGTCTTTGATTAAGGTGTTTGCATTTATATAGTCACCATCAAGTCACTGTACTGACTGGGGTGAGTGAAAAAGCACAGCCTTGGAGTCCTTGGACACAGAGAAGGAAGACTATGGAAATTTACTTCACTGAATTTCAAAGATTTTGCAACACATGGTATTCAATTACCCATAGAGATAAACCCAACCTAGAAGGCTAATTCATTCACTCATGTATTCATTCATTCACTAACCACTTATCGAATGCCTACTCTGTGCAAAGTATTTTGCTAGATGCCGAATCTTCAAAGAGAAATAGGAGAAGCTGTAATAGAGTAATGTAATAAAGGAGATATAAAATACACACAAATTGTTAGGAGGCAGAAAAGAGAGGAGCCCCATATCTTCCATTTTGTGGCAAGAGTGACTGCATCTTTAAACTGGCTTCCATTTCAATGGAAAATAAGTAGCCACATTCATACCACTCCAACTCTGCATTTATTTTTGCTCTTTCCTGAGTCCTATGTGATGCTAGCCCTAGAGTAAAACAAAGATGCCTCACTGGTCCTTTTGATATAATTGGCAAGCTTTGGACCTTCACCAGGGTCAACTCAGACTGCTCCCCATTTCTCTGTCTCTGTCTTTGTCTCTCTGACTCTATATCTCTGTGTCTCTGTCTGCGTTTCTCTCTCTCTGTCTGTCTGTCTCTGTCTCTCAGTGTGTGTGTGTGTGTGTGTGTGTGTGTATGCGTGTGTGTATGTATGTCTGTAAGAAATTGTAGGAATTTATTTGACCTTTGAGAGAAGAAAGGTATCAATTAACTGATCTCTCCCTGCCTCAGCCCATAATAGAAATAAAGCTTCTCTTTCTGATTTGTCTCCCAAATTACACACCATGCTCATTTTTTTCATGGCAAGAAAGATCATGGTGATTGCAGAGGAGTGGTCTAGGCAAATGGCAAAAGACATCTAAGAAAGAGATTCATTTTTGGATTTTCATGAAAAACCATTCATAAGTCACAGAGGGATTACTGTATGTGTTGGGAGGTGGTGTTTCCTTTAAAATAAAATTGCACAATATTTGAGAGGCAGCATATTTTAGTGGGATTAATGCTGGACCTAGAATCCAGGTCCTGGGATATGTTTATATCATAGCTTTGACATTTACAAATTTTATGACCAAAGACACTCAACTTATTAGAGCTTCTGTTTCTTTGTCTATAAAATGAGTATTTGTAATACCTGTTTCACTGGGTGGTTGTGAGAAAAAAGACTCCATAAGCATTCATGTTTTATCTACCGGTAAGCTTTTTTTTTTTGAGGGGGGGGAATGGTGATCCCAACTTGTAATTTCTTTATTGTAGGTAATTCCCAGTGTGGAAACTTGTCTGCAACTTAAATTATTAAAGAGTTGCTTGGGGACAGTGAGTGACTTGTCTTGTGGTTGCATAGCCAGGATGTGCCAGAGATGTGGTTTGCAGCCAGGTCTTCCTGCCTTGAAGTCTGGCCCTCTGTCCACCATGGGACACTAGAGTTCTTAAGTCTTATTATTGTGTTCTAAAGTATTAAAGTCATGGGTTGATTCACTGGTGGAAGGAATACTAACATCAATGAGATTGAAGATCCTAAATTGTTTACACGTGTTTAAGTGATGAGGACTCTGTCACCTAGAAAATGTAAAATTATGTTCAGTTTTTTTAATGGACTCGAGAATAAAATATGGATTCCCACATTTGGCTTTTAAAGCCCTTCCCAATCTGTTTACTAAGGTGGGAGGGATGTGGGAAGGATTTTAATCAAAAAGAAATAAAATAGCACTTGGGCACTTGCATAGATAAACTTTAGATATCTGAAAACTTTAATCTGTTAAATATATCATTTCCTGATGATGTCTGATAGTGGTGATGCCGATTAGGAGGATGAGGAACGGGAGGAAAAGAAGGAAGATGATCACCGAATTCCTTGCTTCCCTCTAGTACTTCAAAATTACATATAAATGAGATGTAGCTCACTCTTTGATTTCTTCTGAGAACTTCCTATGTGATCCTTACAACATATGTGTGCTATTGTTATCCCCATTTTACTGATGAGGGAATTGAGGCAGGCAAAAGTTAAGTGACTTACCCAGGACCGCACACCTACCAAATGGATGAGGCAGGATTTGAACTCAGATCTTTGTGATGCCAAGCCCAGCATTCTATCTGCAGAGTCCCCAAAATGCTCACTATACCAGGCATTTTGCCATGCTCAGGGAAAGCAAACAAGGCTAGTGGTTTGCAGAGCTATCTTGTGTTACCTCATTTGGTCCTCGCAAGAACCTACCAAAGTAGGTGCTATATTCACCCCCATTTTACTGATGAGGAAACTCAAGCTCAGAGAGGTTGAGTCACTAGCCCAGGGTCCCACAACTAGTAAGTGTCTAAGGGAGAAGTTGAACCCAGAACTTCCTGACTCCATGTCTAGCCCTCTTTTTCACCAAGCTGCCTCATGAATAGCTCCTGCTGTGAAGGAAAGCACATTTTAATGGAGGAGACAATAAATACCTAAGTATATAGAAGATGTAGACATCATAGGAAAAGGTCACCTGAAAGGGGAAAGATTCTGCACATGGCAACAGAGGGTCATAGACCTAAGATTAGAAGAGACCTCAGAGGTTCTAGTCTACCACTGTCATCAATCAATCAGTCAATCAGCAAACTTTTAGTAAGCATTTACTATTCACAGGGGCTATGCTAAGCACAAAGACAAAAATGAAACAGTTCCTACCCTCATGGAGCTTATATTCTAATGGAGGGGAAAAGATATAAACGAATAGGAATATTTGAGATACATGGAGAGTAGATAGAATGAATAGGAATGTTTGAGATATATACAGAGTAGATACAAGGTAACCTTAGCAGGGAAATTAGGGACTAGAGATGTTAAGGAACTCACTGGAAGTCACACAGGTAATATGTCAGTCAGGATTTGAACCCGTGTCATCCAACTCCAGACCAAGCATTCTTTCCACTGCCCCTCTGCTTCCCATGAGCACTGGCCTCCTGGATGCTAGATCCTGCCTCCCCAGACCCTCCTCACCTTAGTGGTCTTGCCTGGACTCGGCTGAATGATTTATGAACCTACTAGATTGGCACGGTCCATTTTCTGTCCTATCAGACTCCACCTCCACCTTCATGGTAGGGTCTGCACCACTCTCCATGACAACCAGACTGACCGTGTGCCTGGCGAAGTGGGGCCATCATTTAATAAAAGATTGTGGACTTGACTTTCAAGCTTGGTCCCTTCAGTCAGAATCAAACAATCATAGAATCTCTGAGTAGGAAAGGACATCAGTGCCCATTGAGTCCAGCCTTTGGCTGGCCGAGAATCAATTCTAGAACATACTCCACAAGTGGCCATCCAGCTCCTGCTTGACAGAGTCTAGAGGAGGGGACCCCATTTCTCTTGGAGCGAGCCAGCCAGCCAGCCAGCCCACTTTGAGACAGCTCAGATGGTAGGCAGCTCTTCCTGACATCCAGATTAAATCTTCCTTCTTGCAACTCCAACCCTCTGTTCCTAGCTCTGCTCTCTGGGGTCAAAGGACTCCTGAGAGTCCATCAGGTATTTGAACAGAGGTTCAAAGTCTTTTCTCCTACAAACTAAAAAATGAAAAACAAAATATGCATCTCCATCAGTTGCTCCCCTATGAAACGAGATCCTTCACCTTTGTGGTCATCTTTTTCTTCTAGGAATTGCTTTCCCAGAGGGGCAAACAGGATTTTTTCATATCCCCCTCCATTTCCCCTCCTGGCTTCCATTCCAAATAATCACAGGAGTTTTGTCAGCATGGATGGAACAATGGACTTGCAGTTGAGAAGACCCATCTCAAACCCTTATTAGCTGTGGGACCCTCAGCAAGGTACTGAGACATTCTGATTCTCTGGGTCCTCATCTGTAAAATGGAGATAATTAAAGCCCTACCTCACATAGTCATTATGAAAAGAGATGAAATAATGTATACAAAGTGATTGGCAAACTCTGAAGTGCTCTATGAAGATGAGTTATTGTCAACATCATCATCATCATTGTTATTATTGCTAGCACTCCTATGATGTAATGGAATGTACACTGGCCTTGGATTCTGAATGCCTAGATTCAAAGCCACACTCTTCCCTCTGCTTGCCGTTTGACTTTAGGCGAGTCATTAAACTTTCTTGAATCTGTTTCTTCATCTGCAGTGTAGAGATTAGTTTAGTTGATCCTAACAATTTTACCAAGTTATGTTTTAACATTCTGTGTTGTAAGGTTCCTGCTGGCTCTTACATTCTATGTTCTGTGTTCTTCTCCAGTTCTTATGTTCTGAGGTTCCTCATAGTTCTAAGGTCTATCCCAGAGCTAACATCCTTTATTCTAAGGTCCTCTCCAATGATTATCTTTAATATTCTAAGGTCTCTTTCAGCTCTGAAATTGTGTTCTAAGTTTCTTTGAACCCTGACATTCTGTGTCCCATGTTCTAACATTCTATATCCTGAAATCGCTTTTAGTTCTGTCTTTTCTAAGGTTCCTTCCAGCTCTACCATTCTATACTTTATGTTCTAAGGTCCATTTCAGCTCTGACAGCTAGGTTCTCTCCCAGCTCTGACATCCTCTATTCTGTGGTTCTCCCCAGTTCTAACATCCAATGTTCTGTGGCCCTTTAGCTCCACAAACCTAGGCTTTTGTTGTAGTTGTTTTATTTTTTGACATCTAGTCTGAGTGAATGGAATGGGATGATCACCCAGCATTTCAATGACAGCTAGTTAAGAGTTTGGGAAACTGGGATTCGGCTGCTTGACAGAAGGCTTTGTTTTCTACTGTGAAATGTTGTTTTGACAGTTTTAAACTTTCCATTGTTGCATGGATCTCAGACTCCTCCCCAAGGTATTTTTGGTCCAGTTCTAATAGTTTAATTAGCCTTTCTCTTTTGCCCCTCCCCAAACTCTGAGATAATAATAATCCCTAATGATGGCTAACACTTACATAGTGCTTCCTATGTGCCAGGCACTGTGCTAAGCCCTTTACAATTGTTATGTCATTTGACCCTCACAACAATCCTGGGAGGTAGGTGCTATGATTGTCCCCATTTTATAGATGAGGAAACTGAGACAAATAGAGGTTAAGTGTCTTGTCCAGGGTCACAGAGCTAGGAAACATCTGAAACTAGATTTAAAACTCAGGTCTTCCTGACTCCAGGCCCAGCACTCTGTCCACTGTACCACCTTGCTTCCCACAGAGAACAAAGAATTTTATGTATACCATACAATCCAGACTGAGAAGAGAAAATCACTCCCAGAATCTCTCTACCATCTATCTGCTTATAAATACACGTTGAAATAAACCTATAAACCTAAATGTGACACGGTTTACCTTGGAGGGTGGCAGGTGGCCAGAGAAGGGTTGGTCTTCTTTATGAAAACTCAGGTGAAGGTTTTCAATGTTGAGTTTGCCCTTGAATGTCTTCAGGGCACTCCTGAGAAGCCCAGTTAGGTTGTCACTGGTTTCAGAAGATGAGCTGTGGAATTGAGACGCAATAGAAGGGGTATGAGTAAAAGGCAGAGAGATGTGATAGAGTCCTGAAAATGGATCAGGAGGCCTGGGTTTGGGTCCCATCTCTGTCACTCAATGGGAAGCCACTTTCCTCTTTGAGTCTCTTTCCTCATCTGTGAAATGAGGATAGTGGTGTGTATGTGACTTACGTCAAAGGGTCATTCTTTGTGAACCAACACTGAGCCACCTGATATGGTGTAGTAGTGTCTGAAATTTGTCAAGTGCTGGAAGATGAAGTATTTTTAGACGGAAGTGGCCTTAGATTCAAGAAAACCGCAAGAGCCCATTCATCCGGTAACAAGAGAATTAAGGCTAAATTAGGATGGGGGCTACATGACTGGAGAGAAAGGATTGGAGGTGAGAAACGTTGTGGAGATAGGATTGACAAGATCTAACAGCTGATTGGATATTAGGCTGAGAAAGAAAAGTCAAAATGGAGGATCCAAGGTGATGAGCTTGGGTGTTCTCAACAGGAATGGGAAGGCTAGGAGGATGTGCATGAGCTCAGTTTCCAGCTTTGGACTTGTTGAGGGTGAGATGCTCATGAGATGTCCAGCAGGCAGGTGATGCAAGAATGGTGTGTTCTAGAGAGATAATAGGGTGAGACATACAGATTCAGTGGTAATATGCAGAGGCATTATGCTTAAACCAAAGGGAGCAAATGAAATTGTCAAGTACAAGAAGGTATAGATGTATAGGCAGACAGAGAGATGGATAGATGGACAGATGGATGGAGAGATAGATAGATAGATAGATAGATAGATAGATAGATAGATAGATAGATAGATAGATAGATAGATAGATAGATAGACAGGCAGATGAAGAGACAGGTAGGTAGGTAGGTAGATAGATAGATAGATAGATAGATAGATAGATAGATAGATAGACAGATAGATAGATGGATGGATGGATGGATGAATGAAGAGACAGCTAGGTAGATAGATAGATAGATAGATAAATAGATAGATAGATAGACAGACAGACAGATCAAAGAGGATATGGGACACAGCTCTAGGGAACATTAATCATAAAGGGAGCAAGAAACTGACAAAATTTTTAGGCAACATTAACAGCAACAATAACAACAATAATATCTAGCATTTATAGAAAACCTTAAGGCTGTCATTTGATTTTTATGACAACACCATGAGGTTGCTGTCATTATTCTCCCCATTTTACAGATGAGATAACTGAGGTCAAGTGACTTGCCTAAGGTCACAGAGTTAGGAGCTCATTATTTTTCCTCTCTTTCTTTTAGCTTCTCTCTTTCTATCAAACACATCACTCTTCTTTTAGTCTCCCAGGTTTTCCATCAAGATGTTATCCTCACCTCTTTATGCTCACCCTCCTACCATCCCTATCCAATCCATTGCTAAATCTTATCAGTTCTCTCCAATCTGTCCTCTTCTTTCTCCTCCTAGCATAACCCATGTCTGAGGCAGGGTTCAAACACAGATCTTCCTGACTCCAAGTCTGACGCTCCAGCTCCCCTATGAATACTGAGCAACTCTGAGAGTACCCCCACCTCCATCAGGGGAACCGGAGGCAGATGCATGAAAGAATCCCACTTCCTGTAGCCTGTGGGATTTTCTTAGAAGGCTCAGATCCAGATGCTTCCTACATCTGGTCTAACTTAGATGAGGGGAGCTATTGCCACCCCAGCTATTGCTGGCAATGCTGTGAGTTTCAAACACGTCCAGGCCTCTTTAACTGAAAGCTCCCCACAACTGAACACCCAGAGAAGGCTGTCTTCTGGAATTAACACATTAATGAAAAAAGCCTTGGATGAGCTATAAGCTGGGACCCTGGACCATTACTCCTGTGGTTTATTTGTTCATTTGTTTGTTTGTTTTTGACAGGCAGTTTTTACAAGCAGCAGCTTTTCTGAAAACCCCAGGGCCTTTTCCCCAGGTGTCTCTTCTCCAAGAGACACAAACCCACCCTGTGAAGAAATTGGCTGTTGGTGGAGTGGCAGAAAGGACACTCGTCAGATGAAGTGGGCTTTGTGAGATGTTCCCCTCTTGCCAGCTTGGTGAGTTTGGAAATAGAAACAACAATCGTAACAAATAATGGCAACACACCCTCTACAACTGGGCCGAGTTGTTTGTGAAATAAAGGTATCAGAGAGATGGCCTTTAAGGACCCTCCCAGCCAGTCTTGGTCCTGAGCTCTCTCCCTAATATTCTGGATTCTAATATTCTAAGATCTAGGTGCAGGGGTGGGTAACCTGTGGCCTCAAGGCCACATGTGGCCCTATAGGTCCACAGGTGCAGCCCTTTGATTGCATCCAAACTTCACAGAACAAATGCCTTTAATAAAAGCTATACCTCACAATTATTTTTTCCTGCATCAATTAGATGTTTGAGGATGTTATTGCTTCTCCAGTAAAATTCCGCAGTCAAAGCTGAGCTCCAGTGACAATGTGACCAAGAATCTCACCTGAGTCTCTCAACCAATGAAGGTTAAGACTTGGAAGCTGGGTTTCAAGAGGAGGCTATCAGATTGTAAATTAGATTGCAACCTCCTTGAGGGCAGGGACTATCTCACTTTTGTGTTCCCATCCTGAGCATTTAGCACAGAAATGTGTAATGAACACTTGATTAATTGATTGAGTTTGCTATGTAAGCTGCAAACCCCTGTTGTTATTAAGTAGTCTACAAATATTATAGACAGCTAGGTGGTATAGTGGATATAGTGTCATGCCTGGAGTCAGGAAGGTCTGAGTTCAAGTCTAGCCTCAGGCACTTAGCAGCTCTGTGACCCTGGACAAGTCATTTCACTGTTTACCTCAGTTTCCTCATCTGTAAAATAAGGGGGAAGTAAATGGCAAACCACTCCATCATTTCTGCAAAAAAAAAACCCTAAATGAGGTCACAAAGAGTCAGACAAGACTAAACAACAAAAACCAACATAAAAATACTCCTTATGATCCTACCACTGGTCACAGAACAACTTTAACAAAGGATCAACTTTAAGGTCTAAAAAACAATATGGTGGCATAATGGACAGATAATTGAACTTGGAGTTCAATGGTATCTCAGGTGCTCAATGTTTTTCATGACCCTGAGCAAGCCACAGAAATGCTCTATGCCTTGTTTTCTTTTTGTTAAAACGAGGGGATTGGATTCAATGCTCTCTGGGCTTGAAAGACCTCTGACTTTTAGTACTATCACTGGTCCTAAGTAGAAGGAGCCTAATTACTAAAGCTACTATTTTTATTGACAAGACAGGTTGAAGCCAGTGTTCCATATATAGATGGAGTATAAAGAAACCTTATGGGAAATACAGTTCTCTGGTACCAGGATGCAAAGCCTCCATTTTTAAGCAATGAACTTAAAAAACATTTAGTAAGCACTCAGTATGTGTTGGTGCTGTGCTAAGCTGGTATCTGTTTCAAATCCCAGGCTGCTTGAAGGAGAAATAACCAAAGCCAGCCCTAAGCATTCATTGCCTTTCTCTGTTCTATTTTCCCTGCGCTTAAGGGAAGGAGATCCCTGAGTCATCACTCATCTGAGATCCTTCTTCAGAAATACAGGTGAGCTCCTCTTCACGTTCTCTGTGGTCTCAGCTTGAAGAACAAGGAACTCAGTAGCACTTAAGTGCCTCAGCATTTTTTTCGTAAATTTGCTTTTCTATTTTCCATATGTGAACTTCATAAGCAAGTGACAGAGAGAGAGAGAGAGAGAGAGAGAGAGAAATGGAGACAGAAAAAGAAACAGAGAGAAGAGAAAGAAACAGAGACAAAGAGAAGGAAACAGAATGCTCATGTAAAATTCTTCCTGGGGGAAAAAAACATAAAGAGTAGCAGGAAAAAAAAAAAAAGAAACCCACCACATTGTGACAAGGCTGGGTCAACATCAAAGAGGCCCTGCTGGTGATAGGAGGTGAGGCTAAATGACCTCTGTGGGCCTTTCTAAATCATGAGATCATGATTCTAAATCTTCTTGCATACTGACCTCCCTCTCACAGGAAGTGTTCAAGCACTGACTGGATGACCAACAATTAGGGAGGGTCTAGAGGGAATTTCTATATTGGTTGGAAGGTGGAACATCTAGGTCTATAAGGTTCCATTTAACTCTGAACTTCCTTGGATATGTGACCATCTGCACCAAAGAAGGAGAGGAAAGTATCACCTTCGGTCAAGATCATTGATTTCCTCCATTTTTACTGGGATGTCGTCAACCAGGGACTCACTCCTTTGAGTTTCATTTGATGCAGCTAATCTTAAAAACCACAACAGCTTTTTATAATTGATCTAAAAATGAACATACATTTTGGTTACATGAAAAAGAAAGAGGTTTGCAAAATGTCTTTACAGAATCCATCCATTCATCCATCCATCCCTCCATCCATCTGTCAATTTACTGATACTCACAAGGGACCAGGACCCATACCGGATGTTGGAGATGCATAGCCTAAACTAAAACAATCCTTGTTCTTGAGAAGCTTATGTTCTACTGAAAATTTACAGGTCCCTACCAGTATCTCTGAAAATAGCTGTACAAACCCCCCGAAGCTTGGGACAGTACATTCTCCATATTGGAAGCAGATTTGTACCTTAACAAAGAATTTAAAACTCAAGTAATTGGCCAGGATCATGAGCAAGCAGTGCAAAAAGAGTTAGACTATATTATCTTACTTTGGTGAAAAAGAAGATCAAAATATACAACCAGAAGAAGACAACAAAGTCAAAGCTCCTACATCCAAAGCCTCCAAAAAAATATGAATCAGTCCCAGGCCTTGGAAGAGCTCAAAAGGGATTTGAGAAGCAAGTAAGGGAAAAGAGGAAAACTGAGAGTGATGCAAGAAAATCATGAAAAACAAGTCAACAGCTTGCTAAAGGAGACCCAAAAAAATACTGAAGAAAATAACACCTTAAAAAATAGCCTAACCCAAATGGCAAAAGAGGTCCAAAAAGCCAATGAGGAGAAGAATGCCCTAAAAAGAAAAATTGGCCAAATGGAAAAGGAAGTCCAAAAGCTTACTGAAGAAAATACTTCCTTAAAAATTAGAATAGAGCAATTGGAAGCTAGTGACTTTATGAGAAATCAAGACACTGTAAAACAAATCCAAAAGAATGAAAAATTAGAAAACAATGTGAAATATCTCATTGGAAAAACAACTGACCTGGAAAATAGATCCAGGAGAGAGAATTTAAAAATTATTGGACTATCTGAAAGCCATGATCAAAAAAAGAGCCTAGACATCATCTTTCAAGAAATTATCAAGGAAAACTGCCCTGATATATTAGAACCAGAGGGCAAAATAGAAATTGAAAGAATCCACAGATCTCCTCCTGAAAGAGATCCCCAAAGGAAAACTCCTAGGAATATTGTAGCCAAATTCCAGAGTTCCCAGGTCAAGGAGAAAATATTACAAGCTGCCAGAAGGAAACAATTCAAGTACTGTGGAAACACAATCAGGATAACACAAGATTTAGCAGCTTCTACATTAAAGGACCACAGGGCATGGAATATAATACTCCAGAGGGCAAAGGAGATAGGATTACAACCAAGAATCATCTACCCAGCAAAACTGAGTATAATCCTTCAGGAGAAAAAATGTTCATTCAGTGAAATAGAGGACTTTCAAGCATTCCTGATGAAAAGACCAGAGCTGAATAGAAAATTTGACTTTCAAATACAGGACTCAAGTGGAACATGAAGAGGTAAACAGGAAAGAGAAATCATAAGAGACTTATTAAGATTGAACTGTTTACATTCCTGCATGGAAAGATGATATTTATAACTCATGAGACCTTTGTCAGTATTAGGGTAGTTGGAGGAAAAAAAATTATATGTATGTATATGTAGATAGATAGATAGAGGGCACAGGGTGAGCTGAAGATTAAGGGATGAGAGAGGGTTATATTTTGAGAAGAAGAAAGGGAGAGGTAGAATGGGGTAAATTATCTCACAAAAAAAAAAAACCAGAAGTCTCTTACAGTGGAGGGGAAGCAGGGGAAGGTGAGAGGGAATGAGTGAATCTTATTCTTATAGTATTTGGCTTAACAAGGGAATAACATACACATTCAATTGGGTATGGAAATCTGTCTTACCCTACAGGAAAATAGGGGGAGAAGGGGACAAGAGAGCAGGGGGATGATAGAGAGGAGGGCAGATTGGGAAAGGGGGTAATCAGAAGTAAATACTTCTGAGGAGGGACAGGGTCAAAAGAAAGAATAGAATAAATTGGAGGGTAGGATAGGATTAAGGGAAATAGAGTTAGTTTTTCACAACATGTCTACTATGGATGTGTTTTGCATAACTGCACATGTACAACCTATACTGAGTTGTTTGCCTTTTCAATGAGGGTGGGTGGGGAGGGAGGAAGAGAGAAAATTTGGAACCTAAAGTTTTAAAAACATATTTTAAAAAATGTTTTCACATGCTACTGGGAAATAAGAAATACAAGAAATGGGGTACAGAAGCCTATCCTGCCCTACAGGAAAATAGAAGGGGAAGGGGATAAGAGAAGGGGAGAGAGATAGAAGAGAGGACAGACTAGGGGAAGGGATATTCAGAATGCATGCCATCTTAGGGTGGGGGGAGGGGGAGATGGGGTGAAAATTTGGAACTCAAAAACTTGTGGAAGTGAATGTTGAAAACTAAAAATAAATAAATTTATATTTAAAAAAACAAACAAAAAAAGAAGCTTATGTTCTAAAGCAGGAGACAAAATATAGCTCATAAACATATGTAAAATAAGGGTTAGGGCCTAGGCACTGTAAGAAACCTCTCTCTAATAATGAAGGTCAGAACTTTATCTGTCACTTACAGTCTTAAAGAGATGCTTCGGACACAAAAGATTAAGGGTTTGCCCAGGATCCTCGCCTCTTTGAGGGTAGGCACTGAGAGATCTCCCAGGAGTTCCCACACTAATGGTCCCAGGTCCAGACCCAAAACAAGCCCAAACCTCCACCTCTCTTATCCATCTCTGAGCAACCAGTGCAATAATCCTGATGACCTTGGCAGTGTTGCCTAATAGAGAGGGCCCTGCATCCAAAGTCCCGAAGACTTGTGTGCAAATCCCAACCCAGACGCATGCTACTTGTGAGATCCTGGGCAAGCCATTCCTTCAGTATCCAATGCCTTAGCTTCCCCATCTATAAAATGAGGGGGTTAGACTGAAAGGCCTCTACTGTCCCTCTCAGCGCTAAATCTATGATCCTATGACAAAAGCCATTTCCCAAGGAGATTTAAACCTCTCGTGCCTTTCAATTGTCATCATCATTAGCATTAAAGACAATACTATTAAGAAACTTTTAGGCTCCCAAAGCTCATCGTTCCCAATTCCTATAAGGAAAGTGATGCATATATCCTAAGTCTCATTTCAGAGAAGGGAAAAAATGGGGCTGTAGGAGATGAAGTTGGCTTCCTGAATTTAAACTTTTTTTTTTTTGGTGAGGCAATCGGGGTTAACTGACTTGCTCAGGGTCACACAGTAAGTGTCATGTGTCTGAGGCCAAATTTGAACTCAGATCCTCCTTACTCCAAGGCTGGAGCTTTATCCACTGTGCCATCTACCTGGCCCCAAACTTTCTTTTAAAAGTCAACTTAGAGACCACCTCCTACAGAAAGCCTTCCCTGATTTTCTCCTGTTGGTGATGACCTTTCCTTCACAGACTTTTCAGAGCAGTGTATTTCATACTTAGCATGTAAGAGCACATATTATAGGTTTCTTGGCTTCCTAGTAGACTGTCAGCTCTTGGAGGGCAGGGATTCCTTAGCCTTCAGTGCCCAGGATACAGTCATTTTTCAGTTGTGTCCAACTCCTCATGACCCCATTTGGGTTTTGTTTCATTTTGTTGTTGGCAAAGATATTGGAGTGGTTTGCCATGTCCTTCTTCAGCTCATTTTACAAATGAGGAAACTCAGGCAAACAGAGTTAAATGACTTGTCTAGGGTCACACAGCTAGTATGTGCCTCAGGTGAGATTTGAACTCATGAAGATGTGTCATCCTAACTTCAGGCGGGGTGCTCTGTGCACTATGGCCCCACCTAGCTGCCTAGATATTTAATTAATATTGTGTCTTATTGTATTAAGTAAATAGTAACATATTTAGTAAGTCATCACAGGTAGTGTGATACAGTACATTCAGAGGATCTGGGTTCAAATCCTACTTCTGAAAATTACTACTTGTGTAACCTTGTGCTATTCATTTAAAGTCTCTGGGCCTAACTTTCCTCTTTCCCTTCTACTCCTAGACTAATAATCCTGTGGTTTTACATACACACACACACACACACACACACACACACACACACACACACATATCAATTTATAGCTACATATCTATGTAGATGTAGGTAGATAGATAGATAGATATACTAGTTAAAACCATGATTCTGATAAGGCTTCCTTCCACAGGCTTTGCCAAACTGCCAAAGAGACCCAAGTCACAAAAAGGTTCTGAATCTCTGCCTTAAGCAAAGCCTTCAACCTAACTGGTCTTACTTAGCTTCCTCATCTATAAAATGAGGGGAGTTGGGCAAGATGTTCTGTGTAATGCCTTCTGCCTTTAAAGCTGTACAACTATGAACGTGTTAGGCAGAATTCAAATGCAAGTCTCCTGATTCCACATTAAACCTCCACTGGTTAGGTGGAGAAAATCAAACAGTTAATCAGGTGAATAACATTTATTAAGCACTTATTATGTGCCATCAAAAAAAAAAAGAAAGAAACGTAAGATCTTGGCAACTGGTTTCATCACTTCCTAGTAAATAGAGGGAGAAGAAATAGAAGCAGTGTTAGATTTTATATTCTTGGGCTCAAAGATCACTGCAGATGGTGACTACAGCCATGAAATTAAAAGACACTTGTTCATTGAAAGGAAAGCTATGGCAAATCTGCACAGCATACTGAAGAGCAGAGACCATCACCTTGCCAGCAAAGGACCGTATAACCAAAGCTCTCTATTATTTTTCCAGTATCAACATAAGGCTATGAGAGTTGGACACTAAGGAAAGCTGAGCACCACAGAATTGATGCTCTTGAAATGTGTTGCTGGTGAATACTTTTGAGAGTCCCTTGGGCAGCAAGGAGATCAAAGTGGTCAATGCTTAAAGAAATTAATTCAGGCCGTTCACTGGAAGGTCAAATACTGAAACTGAAATACTTTGGTCACAAAATGAGATGATGGGACTCATGGGAAAAAAACCACCGATGGTGGGACAGATTGAAGGCAAAAGGAGGAGATGACAGAGGATGATGCATAAATACTCTCATGGAAACAAAGAACGTGAGCTTGGATGGACTTAGAAAGATAGTGTAGAACAGAAGGGCCTGGCGTGCTGTGGTCCGTGGGGTCACAAAGGGTCAGACACACGACCAAACAACCTCGCAACAATAAAATTATGAGTCAGGTACTCTGCTAAACTGGAGATAAAAAGAAAGGCAAAAACATGCTTCCTGCCTTCAAGAAACTTATTATCTAATGGAGGAGTCACCATGCAAACAAAGCTATATCCAAGATCAACTGGGGGCCATCTCAGAGGGAAAGCTCTGGAGTTAAGGACTGGGAAAGACTTCTCACTGACCCATGCCTACTTTAAAAAGTGAAAGGTTAATTTTCTCTCCCCACCCCCACTATCAGATTAAGCTAGCCATACCAGTTCTGAGTATCTGGTCTGAGTGAACCTCTGGAAAAGTAGCTTGACAGTGGGCAACTGAAGAGGGACCTCATGCTTTACTAGCAATCGGCTCAGCTGGGACTGAAGAAGAAGTCCAGAAGAGATGGGATCCAGGACCTTCAATTCCTTTTCCAGATTGTCCAGCAAATCATAACTTGGAGGATGCACCTTGAATTCTCTTCCAACTATGGCCAGAAGAGACTCGTCTTCGCTTGACCTCAGACCAAGGCTCTGAGAAAGACCAAAAATAAATAAATAAATAAACAAAAACCAAACAAATAAATAAACAAACAAACAAATAAATAAATGAAAACATACCACAGATAAATTTGAAAAACTCAATCCATGAAAGCATTTTTTTTTATTTGGTGCTCTGTATGATTGGGCCTCCTCTTTGCTGACTGGTGGATGGAATACTGTGAGTAGGCATGAGCTTTATGTTCTGTAGCTAATTATAGGCAGGTCTCGAGCTCACTGATACCCACCCAACTAAGAGCCATCTGCCTCCACCTATATTCCAATCTTTTCATATCTTCCTCCCCAACATACTCTTGGATACAGTGACTCCTGGCTATTCCTCTTCCAACACCCTCCATCTCTCAGCTCTGTGCATTCTCTCCAGCTGCCCCTCCCCCGTACCTGGGCCGCTCACCCTCCTCCACTCCAACTATGGACTTCCCTAGCTGCCTTCAAGTCCCAGCTAAAATCCACCTCCTACAGGAAGCCTCCCTCAACCCCTTAATTCAAATGCCTTCCCTCTGATAATTTTCTATTTATCCTGAACATAACTTTCTTTGCATGCATTTCTTTGCAGGTTGCATCCCCCAATAGAGTGTGAGCTCCTTGAATACAGGGGCTGTCATCTGCCTCTTTTTGTATCCCCAGCACTTAGCACAGTGCCTGATACATGGCAGGTGCTTAATAACCGTTCATTGGTTGATTGACTGAAGAGACAACTCAGCTACAAAGAGAGTAACCAGTGGCCACCAGAGTGGGTAGCAATATTTATTTGTACATTTGGTCCATTATTTGAAAGTCAGAATAGTTTATGGGCTCCTAAAACCAATCAGTCAATTAACATGCACTTATTATATGTTGGGCATGATGTGCAAAGATAAAGACCCTGCCCTCAGGGTGCTTACATTCCACTAAGCAAAATAACAGACAGTGAGCTGCTGGAGGGAATGAGCTGTCTTCCCTGTTTTTGTTTCCCCAATGCTTAGCCTAGTGCCTCATAGATAGGAAGCTCTTCATAAATGCTTTTTAGGGGATGGGTGGTGTGATATACACATGTAAGGGTGTCCTAAATACATACAAAATAAATTTGAGTTGATTTCTTGGGGGATGAGAGGAGGGAGCAGTGATAGCTGAAGGGATCAGGAAAAGCCTCACACGCAGAAGGCAGCACTTGAACTGAGCTTGGCAGGAAGCTAGGGATTCTAAGGTGAAGGGAGACAGCATCCCGGGCACGGGACGGGGAAGGGGGGCAGCTTGTGCAAAGGTATGGAGATGGGCTATTATGTCTGAAGAAGAGGAAGGAAAGTGGTTTGGTTAGCCCACAGCATGAAAGAAAGTAATGTCTAGTAAATGTGAAAAGGTACATGGGGACGACTTGATGTAAGACCTAAAGTGCCAAACAGAGGTGTTGACATTTGATCCTGGAGGGAATAGGGAGCCACTGCAGTTTATTTCAGGAGGGACTGACCTCATTAGCCCTGAGCTCCAAGAATCTCACTCTGGCAGCAGGATGGTGGCTGAACCACTGGACCTGGGCACATGGAATCAGACCATAGATACTTCACGAGGAAACTGCTTCCTTCTTCACCTACTGACTTTCTAGTCATATTTTCAAGTTTATTTCAGATACCACCTCCTCCATGATACCTTCTTTGATCCACTCTGTTGGTAATGTCCTTCCCCTCATACCACAGAAAAAATTCTAACCCTAAAATTCATACCATCTCAAATCTGTGTATAATTTAATATACATTACAGCTTTTCATATTTATGCTTCATTCCCCCTATTAGAAAGTAAGATTGAAAAAGGCAGGGATTGCATTTATCAAAACTTTGGATCTCTCACAGTGCCTAATTCAGTGCTCTTCATGTTTAACAAACACATGTTTACTGAGTGAATGAATGAATAATTCTGATTCAGGCAAATGAGCTGGTTCTAGGTCAAGCATAGGTTCTAGATGAGCCCCTCTCTCATAAACCTGAGAGTTCTAACCTGCCCTGGGAAATGCTAGAGGTTGTCAAAATTGACCTAGGAATTCTCTGATGTGTTTTTACCCACCACCATCTGGCTAAAATCCTGAAAAAGGATGAAAAGGGATGCTATTTGTGTCCTACACTGCTCTTCTCATATATTATTTTATCTGATAGGAATATTATTCCCATTTGAGAGAATTATAGGATGTTAATCTGGAGAAGATATTGGAGACTATCTCATGGTGCAGTGGGAAGAGAATTGGATTTGGAGCTTGAAGATTCAGGTTTGAATCACGGCTTTGCCATGTACTTTTTCCATAGGCAGGTCACTTCCATTTTTTGTGCCTTGGTTTCCTCATCTGTAAAATAAGGGGGTTGGAGTAGATGGCCCAAAAATTTCCTTTCAGATTGAAATATGAGCTAGTCACAGAATCACAAATTCCTAGACTCTCAGCTTGCAAGGGAACTCAGTAGATACCTAATATGTTGTAGATCCCTGGATGGAGTCAGGAAGATGAGTTCAGAAACTTACTGGCTGTGTAACGTTGGGGAGATCACAACTTCTCCGGGCCCGAGTTGCCTCAGAATTGGGGACTGTACTCAACAGCCTCTAACATCTCTCCCAGAAATAAATCTGTTATTCTATGATCTTAGGTCATACCTGAAGCAGAATCGTCTCTACAATAATCCAATCAATCTATTCATTCTATGGGTGAAAAAACTAAAGCAAAGAAAAGGAACTGACTTGGGCAAGGTCATATAGATGGATCAGAGAACTGAACCCTGGCCCTCTGACCCCAAGTCCAATATTATACTGACTCTACCATGCTCCTATAATGAGGATGAGTGAAGCACCAAAATTTGCTTACCCAAAATTTGTTTTCTGCTCACCCATACCCCCTCTCCCCGTGCCCCTGACTAGGCAGCAGTCCCGTAAGAAAAACTGGGAGAATCAGCAAAAGCACTGGTCTGGGGAAACCCACTGAATCATTCAGCCGATGGTTTATGATCTCTGTTCACCATCATGAAAGATAATATAGTCCAGTGTTAGGTAATAACAATGACTAATATTTCCATAGCACTGAAAAGTTTGCAAAGCTTTTTTTCAGACATGATCTTATTTGTTATTAAAGTGTTATCAGCCCCATTTTACAGATGAAGAAACTGCAGTTCAGAGAAGAAAGGTGATATGTCCATGGTCACAGAGTTAGAGAATATAAGACATGAGGTTTGAACTCAGATCTCACTGATTTCACCTCCAAAACTTGCTCTATTATGCTGTGGTGCCTTAAAGCCTACATCCTTTTAGAGTCAGCAGACCCAGCTTAAATGCCAGCTCTCCCGCTAGCTATAGGTGTGACCTTGCACTTCTCTCTGGGTCTTAGTTTCTCCCTTTGTAAAATGAAAAGAATGTACCGAATCATATAAGCTGACAAAAATAGAAACAATTAATGTTTGAGGGGCTGTCCAAAATCAGCCAAAAGAAAAATACAGTTAATGGAGTTGTGGATTGGTTCAACCATTCTGAATATCAAGTTGGAATTCTTTAGGTTAAAAAAAAAAAAGACAATAGTTTCTTCCCTTTGAACTAGTGATTCCACATATACTCAAGAGATAAAGGTCACATGTATAAAAAAAATCCTCATATGAGCCCTTTTGTGGTAGCAAAACCAAACTGGTTTGCTGGGATATTAACTGTGTTGTAAGAAACAACTAATTGGTGGAATACATAGAAACATGAAAAGGCACCGGACTGCTGAAATCACAGGTCCAGACAAAGTAAGAGTGGTAGGATTTGAATGAATTGATACAGAGCAGAAACAGGAGAATAATATATACAGTGACTACAACAGTAAAAATGAAAAGATCACTAAAATAAAATTGAATGTGGTGCACTTATGATAGCTCGTCTTGGCCCCCAAAAAGATGAAAAAATGCCTCTTACATCATTTCCTTGAGAGGTGGGGGAGTACAGGGCAGAATGTGGCTGCTGCTGTGGCAGCTGGTTTTGGTCAACTTTCTTTTTTTATAAGACAGGGCTACTTTGGGAGAGTGAGTCAAGTCAAAAAGCAATTATTAAGCACTTACTACATGCCAGGCAATGTGCTAAATGCTAGAGATACAAAGAAAGGCAAAAAATAGTCCCTGGCCTTAAAGAGCTCAAAGTCTGAGGGAGAAGACAACATGGAAATGATTATGAAGATACCAGATACATGCAGGGTATATTGGAGGCATTCTCAGGGGGAAGGCAATAACATTGAGAGAAAATGGGAAAGGCTTTTAACAGAAGGTTGGATATGAACTGAGACTAGGAGGAGGCAGGAGGGGGATAGAAGGATAGGGATTATTTCAGGCATGGGGGACAGCTGGTGAAAATGGATGGTGTTAGGAGATGAAGCAAGAAGGTCATGAGAGGTGGGGTGGGGATAGGGAGAGGTCAATCTATAAATACCTGTGATATAAAAGCAAAAAGCATTTAAAACCATTTAATAAATAAAATAAAGCAAGGAACTTAGAGTTGATGACTTCTCAGCCCTTCTATGTTCCTATGATTTACACCTTCTACCTGTATTCTCTACGTTTGCTTTCCTGCTCCATAACCATAAAATATTCCCACTCCAATGTAGATACCTCAAGCCCACCTGGACCATTTCTAGACATGTGTTCCAAGGTACAGTCTATTGGGCTGGGTTTGGGGAGGCCATGAAGATAGGACAGCGACTGGTCTCCTGAGGGCACGGAGCTACACTGAGCATTTGCCCATTTTAGAATCTGACAGAGAAAAGACAACAGCAGAAGAAAAGAGGTGAGTTCATGTCTTTTTAAATGCACCTTCCTGGCTGCAAATTTGTAGCCTTGGCATCGAGATTCATATCAGGTGTGTTTCTTACCTTGGGGCCATTCAGTCAGAGGACTCTGTGACTTCAGGGCATCTAGCACAAACAGGGGAGATCCAAAATCATATAGGTCATAAGGATGATAGGTTTGAGTCTGGAAAAGCCCTTTGGGGTCATCAAGTCCAACGTCAAAATGAATCTTAAGCTTCTTTGGAGCTGTGACTATTTCATAGTGGGTTTTGAGTTCCCTGTCCAAAGCCCTACTCAGTTCCAACATTCTATGGTCCAAGGTTCCTCCCAGCTGTGACATCCTTTGTGGTAAGATTCCACCTAGCTTTAACATTCTATGAATCAGTTTGCAAAACTCTAATGATGCTTTCACATCTAATGAAAAATCTTCAGAGTGCCTTTCTAAATCCCAGAAAGCATCACAGATACCCTTCAAGGAAGATCATCCATCATCTGGAGTCCTTATTTGAAAAATTTCAGGGACTGAGCTCCACCACCCTAAACCCAGCCTAGGCAATGCTGATTTAGCAAGCATAAGTGAGCTGGGTTTGGAATGCTTTTTTTTTGTGATTTCTTCACATCTTTAATTCTAGCGAGATGCCTTCTCCTGCTTCCCAATAGTGGTAATGAGGGCCCCACACACGATGCCTTCACCTCCTGTCCCAGACAACTGTGCCTGCCATCTGGTGGACCGTCACCAGGGTTGCCCACAGACAAAGCTAATTAGTGAGTTTGCCCTGCATCACACTGAGGCTGGCTTTGTATGCGGGCTCAATGTCAGCACTGCCAAGCCTTGTGCAAGGACCCCTGGAGCTCAAAACATGCCAGGCTCTGTGGGAGGAGGCAGGGAGCCTCTGTCACAACCCAGAGAAGTAGATGACAAGGGGGCATTGCAGAGAGAGCTCTTCACCTCACAGTCAGGGGGCCTGGGTTCTAGACCTGCTCTGCCACTTTCCAGATGTGTGAGGGTGGATAAGTCATTTCCCTGACCCTCTACACTTGTTCAGAAGAGCCTTAGGAACAACAAGAGAGGGAAGACTTGATGGGGCTCTGTGCTTAGACACCCTCCTATCCTGTTCAATGACAATATTGATAGTCTTCATTTCCTGAACTCTGTCCTCCTAGTCTGCATTTTCTCACCTTTCTCTGCCATGTTGCATAATTGCCCTCTCCCTCAATCTTAATTAGGAGTCAGAGGAACGGCGTTCAGATCCTGTCTCTACTACTTACTTCTGTGTGACCTTGAGCAAGTCACTCCTCTCTTGGCCTCAGTTTTCCTTTATGTAAAATGAGGGGGTTGGACTTTGCCAGATGTCAGCCTATATTCTATGATCCTCTGTCTTTGTAGTCATAGAACCACATGATTATCAGTCAGAAATAGAGCTAGAAGGGACCCCTGAATCTGTTTAGTTCAATCATCCCATTTCACAGATGAGAAAACCAAGTTCAGGGGACATTAAGACACTTGTCCAAAGTCTTGAAAGTCAGTAAGTCCATAAACACTTATTAAGCACATACTCTGTGCCAGGCACTGTGTTAAGCACTGGGGGGGGGGGTACAAAAAGGCAAAAGATAATCCCTGCCCTCAAGGAGCTTATAATCTAATGGAGGACACACCAAGCAAACAGACACGTACAAATAAGATACATACAGGATAAATATGAGGTAATTAACAGAGACAAGGCACTAGGGGTATATATATAGAAAAAGGTTTTCTGTACAAGGGAGATTGTAGCTGGGACTCAAGGAAGCCAGGGAAACCAGGTGATGGAAATGAGGGGGGAGCGCACTACAGGCTCAGAAGACAGCTAGAGAAAATGCAAGGTAGCAAGAGGCAGGAGAACCGATTCAAATGGTGGCTCCCGTTGCTTTCTTACTCTCTATGACCTGCAATAGCTTTAGGGTCAAAGTATTCACACACACACACACACACACACACACACACACACACACACCCACCACACATACACACACACATACACCATACATACACACACACACACACACACACACACACACACACCTGTCTTTGATTCTGGATCTGAGACCTCACTGGTATAGGAAGTCCTAAAGAGAAAACTCCCACTACTTGAGCTGATTGGCCACTATTCTGCAATTTATGATCTTACAGAGTTGCCTAGGACAGTGGAGGTTGAGAGATTTGCCCAGAGCCACAGTCTGTATGTTTTGGCAGCAGGACTTGACCTCAAGTGTGTTTGACTCTGATATCCACATTTTGTCTACTATGTAACTTTGTCCTGTACTATTTTCATTACATTGGAGCTAGTTAACAGGGTGGATGGAAGGCTGAGCTTGTAGTCACAGAGACCTTGATTCAAAACATGCCTCAGACACTTAGTAGCTATGTGATCCTGGGCAAGTCATGTAACCTCTCTAAGCCTCAGTTTCCTTATCTGTAAAATGGACATAATAATTATACCTACTTTCTATGGTTATTGTGAGGCACAAATGAGATAACATTTTGCAAACCTTGAAGTTCTATGTAGATGATTATAGTGTTATTAATATTGATGTTTGTTATAGTAAATGAGGGGCTTAAGCAGATGAACTCTAAGGTCTCTTCTACTTCTAGAGCTGTGATGTAATATGACATAATACAATATATTATAATATTATATAATACAACACAACACAATAATGCAATATAAGATGATATATGATTTTATATGATATGTGATTTCATATAATATAGTATATGATATTATATATGACATGACATGACATGACATAATACAATGTAATACAAATGTAACAAATGGAAGTTCCTTGAAGAAGAGGTCTGCTTCACTTTTTTCTTTGTACCTCCAGTGCTTAACACAGAGCTTGGCATAGAATAGACACTTAATAAATCCTTGTTTTTTGGCTTGACGGACTAATAATTCTCTCATCCCCTGGATCCCTCTCTGAGCCTTGGTTTCCTCATCTGTGAGATGGGGATGATACCTGCATTACCTAACTTTCAGGGCTTCTTGGAGGGCATCACTTGGTCAACCTCAAAGCATCATGCAAATGTAAGTTGTTTTAATGATGGTTAGAGGACTGTGCCAGGTATTTATTCAGCGTCAAAGTAAACTAAGAGGATGGATCATTAGATCATAAGCTCCTCAAGGGCAGGTACCGTCTTTCACCTCTCTGGGTATTCTCAGGGGTTGGTGTAGTGCCAGGGCACATGATTGCCCCTTATAAATGTGAAGTGCTTGGTTGCTTGATTTTCTCTGTAGCAATCTTGATTCCACATCTCTCCTTAAAAGGAGGAAAAAGTAAAGAAGAAGAAGACAATGAAGGGCCTTCAGAAGGTTGGCCAGCCTGGCACTCTATCAATGCAGACTCATTCTCAGGATCTAAAATCCTCGAGGGAGGGCTTTGACTTTTGGCTTTGGTTTTCATATCCTTTCCACATGACTACCTTTCCCAGACTTTCCCAGACCTTTCCACCCCCTTTCCTCACCTAAACCTCCAGCACCTGGTATTACTTCCAGGTACTGTCTGTAGAGGTACTAACCAAGCTCCATCCTGCTCTGGTCCGAGATCAGGTACGATTAGGCACGGGTGAAGTGTTGGGGCCTTACTCTGAATTATTTGCTCATTTGTTTTTTGATGCTAAGATGGATTATTAAAAGTAAAGCCATTTGGTCCCAAACCTGGAGGCTAGAGGAAGTCACATTTCATTTCGTTGCACATTTTCAGTCCTGTCTTTTAACCTGTCAATTAACCTCTCCAGACTTCTGTGAATCAACCAGGTGTATTGGAAAGAGCCCTGGCAATGGAGGTGGAGAACCTGAGTTCTAATCCAAACCTCTTACACTTACCACCTGTGCAACTTCTGCTTCCCAGGCCTCAGTTTCCTTCTCTGTAAAAGTTGGCCTAGTTGGTCTCTGAGGTCCCTTCCTACCCTCTCTCTACAAGCCTAGGCTCTTTTCCATATGGTCTCAGGGAGGCAGCCTTTGTCTCTAGGCCTCGGTTCCTTCATTTATAAAACAATGAGGAATGCTCTGAGCTCTAAATTTATGGGGTAGTTTTCTCACTCTAAATGTATGATCCCTTGATCTGATGGAGTCACTCGACCTCCTTACACCTACAAATGAAGAGTTTGGATTAGAATTTCTCTCAATCTTTCCCAGCTTTGAATCCTGTGATCCCACAAATGAACCTGGATACATCCATTTCCACGGCCATCTTGCCGGTTTCCATTCCTTTCCCTTATCAGAGGCTCAAGAACAAGTCAAAAGGAAATCATTGTTTTAATTACTCACACCACTGCCTGCTCCTACGAGGCCAGGTTTGTCTTCTTCCTTTCCACCTTTGTTCCGCTCTCTGCAATCAGGGCTGAATTGGACTTTGGGATCAGCAGGACTGTTAAGAGCTGGGGGATTTTCCCCGAACTGCCTTCCATGCTGGGGTACCAATGGCCCCAGCTCAGGCTGAGCTTTGGTGGTTGTGTTCTCCTTCACCTGACTGAGAGAGGACATCAGTGACCTTGAACAAGCAAAAAGGATGGCTAAGTATATACTGCCCTGAAGAACACAAGGAAGATATCATCCACGAGAAGTGTCAAAAGACGTGGGGGCCCTCGGGAAATAAACAGTTGTCATTTGCTCTGTGGACCATTGACCTTGCAGACAGGTCACATTACTATCTTCTCACAACAAACTTTTAATTTATAAAAAACAAAAACAAATAGAAGGAAGAGAGAAAAAAAGAATGAAAGAAGGAAGGAAGGAAGGAAGGAAGGAAGGAAGGAAGGAAGGAAGGAAGGAAAGAAAGAAAGAAAGAAAGAAAGAAAGAAAGAAAGAAAGAAAGAAAGAAAGAAAGAAAGGAAGAAAAAGAAAGAAGGAAGGAGAGAGAAAGAATGATAGAGGGGGAGAGAAAAGGAAAAAAGAAGGAAAGAAAGAGAAAAGAGAAGGAAAGAAATAAAAAGGGAGAAAAAAGGAAAGGGAAGGAAAGGAAGGAAGGAAGGAAGGAAGGAAGGAAGGAAGGAAGGAAGGAAGGAAGGAAGGAAGGAAGGAAGGAAGGAAGGAAGGAAGGAAGGAAGAAAAAGAAAGAAAGAAACCTTTTTACCTGTTTCTTGTCATTTCCAGTAAAGTGTCAGTCAACATAGATTTGTAAAGAGGAATTATATTTCTTCATTAAAAGCCTAGAAGTTATTAGCAATCTTTGTAACAGGAGAAGGGAGAAAGTTAAGACATTACTGGTATTTGGCCCTCTCCCCAGCTCTCCTTCCTTGCTATTTTCCAAGCTGGGCATTTCCCTCAGACTCTCTCCCCTTGGGCTGAAATGAGAAGGGGAGAATACCCCTTGAGCCAGAAGTGCCTACCCCTTCATTAGGAAGACCAGGGTAAGTAAAAATGTGGCTTTTTTCTTCCTTATATGGAATGCCGCCTGCTAATAATAAATCACATTTCTATAGCTTTTTGTAGAAAGAGTTCACCTAGAAATAACCTAATGAGGTAAGCGGAGCAAATGCTATTATTCTTGCTTTATAGATGTGAGGAAACATTTAACTGCTCTAATGACTTACTCAGGGTCACATAGCAAGGAAGAGAATGGAACCCAGATCTTTTGACATGAAGTCTGATAATCTTTCCACTGCCCTACACCTAATAAACAGATTTCATACCAGGCCGCACTCACATAACTCACTAAAGCATACAATGCTTGACTTGTAAACCTTGAGGTGCTATGTAAATATGAACTATTAGAATAATAATAATTCTTATTATTATTAACTGTAGTATATCACAGTTTCATGTCAGATTCAGAAATCCCATCGGTAAACCAATACCATGCCACCCCCCCCCCTTTACAGGAAAAGGTGTATTCTGGGAAAGTTGGCTGTAAAGTGAATTTCTGTAAATTGAATGTAACTGCTACCCATTAAGAGGCCAAAGATATATTCTCATAATAACACCTTGGTCCCAAGATGTTTTTTAAAGCACACTTAAAAACACAAGCTAACCCTTTAAAAATAACAAAAGAATGATTTTTCAGATTTCAAAACCTTATTCAAAATAAGTTACACAGTGGAATTGTTGCAATGAAATTGAAAATCCTGAGACCAGCAATGGGACACCGTTAAGTTAATTAATCGATCAACAAGCGTTTATTGAGTTCATGGAGGGCTAGACTCAGGAGAGGTCTGCTTGGTTTTTGCCAGGCTGACTTTCCTTCTATGAAGAACTCAGCGTGGTGCTCCTCTGCTCAGAGATCTCCATTGACTCTCACTTGCTTACTGAATAAACTGTAAACTACTATTCAAGGCTCTGCACAATCAATACCATCCTATCAGAGGCATAGCAGATGGAGTAGTGGACTTGAACCCAGGAAGCCCAGGTAGGTGCCACAGGGAATAGAATCCAAGTCAGGAAAACTTGAATTCCAATCGAGCCTCACACATTTACCAGCTGACTCTGGGCACGTCACTTCCCCTCTATCTGCCTCAGTTTCCTCATCTGTAAAATAGGGTTAATAATGGCACCTATCTCCCAGGATTATTGTGTTGGGAAATAAGATAATATTTGTAAAATATTTACAAAAATGTGTAAAGAATTTGTAAAAATATTTTGTAAAAAAATTTGTAAAAAAAATTTGTAAAAGTTGTATACCTTTAAGTACCACATAAATGATAGTTTTATTTGTTTAAGTTTAAAATATTAAGTAAAGAAGTAAATAAGCAAATAAATAAGGCACATTCTTTCAGGCCATCCTCTTTTAAAGTTGTGTTGCTTCACTATTGATTAGAGAAGTGCAAATTTAAACAACTCTGAGGTACCACCTCACACCTATCAGATTTTTTAATATGACACAAAAGAAAAATGTTGGCTGTTGGAGGGCATGTGACAAAACTGGGACACTAATGCCCTGTTGGTGGAGTTGTGAACTGATCCAACCATTCTAGAGAGAAATGTGAAACTATGTCCAAAGGGATATAAACCTGTGCATATCCTTTGTTCCCTCAATACCACTGCAGGGTGTATATCCCAAAGATATATAAAAAAGAGTGGGGGAGGACCTATTTGTACAAAAATATTTAAAGCAGTTCTTTTTATGGTGGCTAAGAATTTGAAATCAAAGGGATGCCAATCACCTGGGGAATGGCTAAATAAGCCATGTTATATGATTGCAATGGAATACTATCGTGCTATAAGAAATGACAAGCAGGATGATTTTAGAAAAACCTGGAAAGACTTACGTGAATGGATGCATAGTGAAGTTAACAGAACAAGAAAATGTTATTTATATACAATAACAACATTGTTCAGTGAAGAACTGTGAAATGACTTAGCTATTCTTAGCAATACAATGATCCAAGACAATCCCAAAGGACTCCTGATGAAGCATACATACTATCTGCCTCCAAAGAAATAGTGATTAAATACAGACTGAAGCATGCTATTTTTCAGATAAATCAAGTTATATTGCCCCTGTACATAACACTTTAACTATTCTCTTAAAATCATAGAACTGAACAGGATAGGGCCAGGTAATACCATACTCAGACTATCCTCAAGCTTTCCAACTCCTTACTAACACTCAAAGCTCAAAGGGTGTCTCCTCTGGGAAGCTTTCCCTGACTCCTTGAAGCTGGGAAGGATCTCTCTCTTCTCAAATCCCTCACTTTATTTTTCCTCATACTCTGGACAGCTTCAGTACACTTTTCAGGTTCCAATATGTATTCTAGTTATTTATACCAGAAATGTCCTCCTTCACCTTTTCACCTTGGCATCTTTAGCTTCCTCCAAGGCACAACTCAAATTCCATATCCTAAATCACATTTTCCCTGGTCCCTCCAGCTGCTAATGTCTTCCTCCTCCACAGTTATCTTGAATTTATTTTGTATTTACCCGTTTGTGTACATGTTGATTCCCCCAAAAGAAAGTGAGCTCTCTGAGGGCAGGGACTGTATCAATTTTTTTTCCCAGCTAGAAATATAGTCCCTGACACAGAGTGAGAACTGAAGAAATCTTGTTGACTCATTAATTATGTGCATGACTCCTCCCTGCTACTAGACAGAAAGTTTTTTGAGAGAAGGAGTTTTTGTCTTAGCTTTCTTGGGCCTGCAATGCCTTTTACCCAGCAGGTCAGAAGATAACAGATTAAGAATTAGGAAAAAAAAAACTTTAGAGGCACTTAGTTTGGGACCCTCATTTTCCAAATATAAGGAAATTTAGGGCAACAGAGGCTAAGTGACGTGTCCAAGGTCACATATATAGTAAACTATCAGAGAGAAGACTTAAATCAGTACTGATCCCTTGACTCTGAATCCTGTGTAACTTCTGTTCTTGCTACATCTAAATATCCCTTTGCAAAAGCTAATTTGATTTTTGATTGGTTAAATAAAACTGAGGCAATAATCACTGGTGGTTTACACTAGATAAAAAAAATCAGAGTGGGGGCTTGAGGCAGTTGGCATTAGAGAAGTACCCTCCCAATCCCTCAAGGGTACCCCTAGAGCCTTGTTGGGGAGAGAGAGGCTAGTTTTGAATGGCAGTGGGAGTTAGGGGGCTACTCAGAACTATAGAATGGCTTTACAACTTTGCCTTCTTTTTTTATGGTGAAGGCCTCGGAAACACCGTAGTTTAGATAAAGAGGAGATGGGCATGGTACCTTTCTTCCCATCACCTTCCCTCATCCTTGGAAGAAGAATTCTGAATAAGAATCTCAGGTCAGAAGTTGGTCTCCAGAATCTGAGGCATAGATGCCCATCTGCCAAATGAGAGCTGCTCAGTGATTAAAATAAAACACACACACACACACACACACACACACACACACACACACACACACACACATCAAAATGAGCACCTTTATACCTTCAGAGTAAAATCTGTTTCAAAACAACGACACTCTTTTAAAAAAAAAAGTGAGGGAGGTGCATTGTGGGCGCTGGTACCATGCAAAAGCCTCCCCAGCTCAGAAGCTTTGTGTGTCTGCCATTAAAACAATCAGTTTGAGAACACCACACAGTGTTCTTCACAAGATCACAGTTCTCATTGCTGCTGCCTGTATGCTGATGTCTAACTTGATAAAAAGTAATGATTACAGTTTCAAAAGATGAAAAAATCAACAACTAGACCTGATGGAAACAGAAACAGAGCCAACTTTTCCATAGTAATGGACAGAGGGCTTGGTCATATGCCATCCAATGATAAGAGGGATGAAGGAGGATGATGAAGATGCCAGATGATTCAGAAAGGAGACATGCCCAACTGTTCATCAGCCCACGGTGGGCCTGACCCAAATCTTCCAGCAAATTAGCCTTTTTAGCACTGCTTATCTGCAGTGTGGGTTATATCCATGCAAAGGACTGAGGCACCCCTCACGGAACCTAAAACTTGGAAAGGTCTAGGTGGGGGCAGCAAAAAGGTCACCAGATGTCACCTTAAAGGTCTGCCAACTTTGACAGACACTTATGTCACCAATTTCTAATTGCCCCCACTAATGCGCCCAGTGCCTTCTGGAATAAGAATGGTATTCCTGCCAAAGCCTGGAATTAGGATCTAATTTCAGCATACAGAAGGATGAAAAGGCATGGGTGGAAGCTGTGAAAGTGACAATTAGGGCTTTTTGTCATGAGAAAATCTTCAAAAATTAGGGCTTATGAAAAAGGAATGGGTGGCTTTAAGAGATAGTGGGGTGTCCCTCAAGGGAGGTCTTTAAGTAAAGGCCAGATGATCATTTCTCAGTGGTGTCCTGGTGGAGATTCCATTTTGAAGTATGATTTGGACTGGCCCCTGACGTTCTTTTTAATTCTCAAGTTCTGGGATTCTGTTGTTCTTTCTGTCTTTTGGATGGGATAACAGATAATCTAAATACCTATCCTTTCTTTAAAAAAAGAAATACATGCATATGTGGATGGATATACACACACAAATACACATACAGGTGTATGTATGTACATATGTGTATATAATAATCTCTGTGTATGCCTTTCTTTGTATATTCAGCACTTTGGACAGAGCCTGACACAGCTTTTTGGCTGGACTTGATCACAGTGCCTCAGGGTTCTTTATGTGAATAGCAGTGATCATCTGACAGGCATGGCAAAGAGGAAGAAAGAAAGCTAGGGATAATCAGTACTAATCACAGGACACTAGCATGACATTACTTGATATAGGCTTATTCTGTGGCTGATGTTGTTTATCTATTCAACAGATCAGACTCACTGCTTCTTAAGGCAGCTCACTTTATACTTTGGGATGGATCTACTCATAACTTCATAAACAACTTCCAATCATTGCTCCTGGTTTTGACCTCTGGGCCCAAGTAGAACACTGGTATATAGATGGTACAGTGGACAGAGAGCTGCACTTGGAGTCAGGTCATCCTGACATTGGTTGAAGAGGTGATTATATTGAAGAGCTAATTATACTCTGTGGAGCTTGGATGAAAAGAGGAAGCTAGCTTGAGATCAGGAATTCCAGTAGCAAGCAAGCCTATAAAGAACATTTTGAGCTATGTCCTAAGAGGGAATCACTTGGAGGAGAAGACAGGAGAATCTCTGTACCTTCCTTCCTCCTTTAACAGAGGATGACCTTGGGAACCTTAAAAGGATGGAAGGTTTCAGCCTTTCCAATGGCCATCCTGGTAGTATCCTCAGAACAGTGGTGGTGAATGGAAGCATCTGCTATTTTGGAACTGAGAATAAACTAGATACAATTTTCAAAAAGGAAGTTTTGAGTACCCCTAAACAAGCAATACCAGGAGAGGCTCATGAGGATCCTACAAAGGGGAAAAATGACTTCCAGCAACCAAGAGCTATAACTTACCACTTTGCCTTATGGATTATCTAAGCATAAACCCAGTTTCTCTTGGATTCAATGTGTACTTGTGGGAAAATAAGCCTCTTGTTTGGGGGGATGCATTGTACTAATTTTTATTACTGTATCACCTTATTAAATACATGATTCTAAAAGCTAGTTAAGTCTAACTGGTTAGTTGATATAATGTGATAATGGGGAGAGCACATCAATAGGGGCACATGAGTTATAGTGTAAGAAAACAACCACCACTAATCTTTCAAGGTTATCCCTAGAATCCTGAGAGTATAAATAGCCAGTCATCCTCTAGGGGTTAGTTCAGTAGGGGTTGGGAGAGTAGCCTTAGAGACCATGCTACACATGATGAGGTAGAAAAAATAAAATTCCAAGGGCAGGAACTGGGAGGAGACCAAGTTAACTTGACTGTGACATAGATTTTCTAGGAGTTCTTAAACAATATATCTATCTACTCAGCTTTTTAGTTTTCTTATCTACAAGAAGGGGGTGACCTTCAGGAAAAATTGCTTGAAAATAAAAATGAGTACATTTTTCCCATTGTAACTCTTAAAAATATTTTTTAAATGTATCTTAAACAAAATTCAACTAACATTTACTAGGTACCTACTATAGGCAGAACAAGAAAACATTGATGACCTTTTTTTTTTGGAGTCAACATATGTTAAACAATCCTGGGCTTATACTAACTATGTGACCTTGGACAAATCACTTAAATTCTCCTGGTCACTTTTCCCTTATAACAAGAGGAGGCTGAAGTAGATGACTTCTGAAGTCCTCTGGAGCTCTAACTCTATGATTCTATTAATGTATGACCTGGATTCAATTCTTAGCCTCATGGCCCCCTGCCTACACTGGCCTTATAGTCTAGAAGGAGGAGACAGAAACCCAACCTGGAGAGTATTTGAGTGTAGAGACCATGAAGGACTATAAGCCTGCCCTCTGAGGTTCAATCATCTCTATGTAGTTGATTCACAGATCTATATATCCAGTGCTAGTCTCTCTTCTGAGCTCCAGTGGCATATCAACAGTAGCTTACTGGGTAATTTCATCTGGATGGCAAGCTCAACGTGTCACAAATATATAGAAATAACAAAGTAATTTATTTGAGCTGATGAGTCCACCAAGTGAGAAAGTAAAGAGAATATACTGAACAGATCTTTAGGGGACAGCCATAATTAAGAATAATGAGGGGGACGGTTGCAGAAACACATGGCAAGACCTACATAAATGGATGCAAAGTGAAGTGAGCAGAACCAGGAGATCATTGGATACAATAACAGCAATATTATAATGATGATAGACCATGAATGACTTAGCTAATCTGATCAAGACAATGATCCAAAACAATTCCAAAGGACTCATGATGAAAAATGCCATTCACCTCTAGAGAAATAACTGATTAATTTGGAGTACAAACTGAAGCATAGTTTTTCTCACTTTCTTTGTTTTTCTTCTTTTGTTTTGGTGTGACATGGCTAACATGGAAATGTTTTGCATTATTATTGCTTATCCTACTGTTTGTCTTCTCAGTGGGTAGGGGAGGAACAAAAGGGAAAAAAATAATTTGGAACTTAAAAGATGTTTTAAAAGAATGTTAAAAATAAATAGATTTCTTAAAAATTGCTAATTGTAAAAAAAAAGAATTGTTTCATTCTTGGTATATGTATATCCTTAGTTCCTGGAGTGACAGAGGATATCCACTAGAGAGTCCAAGTTTAAGGGGGGGGGGGTGTTTCCTGTGGATGGTGAAGCTCTGCAGATGCTTCTTTTTGTAGATGACATCGTTGCTAGTTATATCAAGTCCAGGAGTTTAATAATATCTGCTTCTTGGAACAAATGGCCACATAGTATGGTGGAAAGAGAACTGGCCTTGAAACCAGGAGGACCAGAGTTCAAGGACTATATCTGAAGGATACTCACTGTGTGACCCCAGGCAAGTCACTTAACCACTTGGTGCTCTAGGCATCTCTCTAAGATGGAAAGTAGCAGAGAAGGTGCCAACCTGCATTGATAGAGGGAGTTTCCTTATCTGAGAGCTCACATACCAACGAAATAATAGGTCCAGTCCCTATTCTCTAAGAGAATAGGAATGTAGGCGTATACCTCAAGATCAAAATTAGGGGTAGAAGAATGTTTATAAATACATAAAAGAAAAAAATGCAGGTCTGACCATAGCATGTCCCCTACCCCCAATACTCAATAAACTCCAGTGACCAAATCTCAAATCCTTTGTTTAGCATACAAAGGCCTTCACAACCTGCCCCCTTCCTGTTTCCAGTCTCTTTGTGTTAACCTGACATATCATGAAAAGAGTACTTCCATGAAGTTTGGGGAATTATAAAAATGAAAAATATTAAGAATCCCTCCCCTCTGATCCCTCCCCTTTTCCTCTCTCCTTCCACCTGCCCCTTTCCAAACTATTGAGGAGACACAGTTTCATGTCACTGGTTGGATTTTCCATGAATGGCATTCCCAGGTTATCCAACAGGCCTAAATTGTTTAGTCTAGTTTTAAGCTTTCATTGCTTTAATACATTAAAACTGCACAAAGACAGACAGACAGATAGATAGATAGAGGCACACTCATATAGATAGATAAATATGTAGATATGAGCATATCTATATCTTTAGATATTTCTATACATTATATCTATATAGTGTATTATATCTATATTTATCTCTCTGAGTGTATCTCTATCTATCTATATTTGAAGACTCCTTTCTCATTTCCTCCAAAGTATGAACAACTCATTATTAAGTTCAGGCCTAACGGAAGCATATTTCAAACTTCCAACTTACGTCTTCGGCTTTTCCACCAGGAATCGGTAATGTTTACTCCCAATAATTTTCACCACAGTCTCAGGCATTGGAGCCCTCCGATAGGGGGTGTCCCAAGAAGAAGACATGACTTTCTGGAATGTCCCCACTAGGCACCTACAGCCCTGCCCTTGGAAATCTGCAGTCTGGAGCTTCAGGGCTTCCCAAGGGCTATGGCAAGGCTGCTTTCTCTCCACTGCAAAGAAGGAAGCTGGGGTTACTTGCATAATTCAAAGAGAGAAGTCTGTCTCTTTTTTGTCTAAGGCCATCCAAAGCCTGTTGGAATGGAAGAAGCAGAATTTGGAATCAGAGGAGCTGGGTTCAAATACCAGCTGAGCTCCATACTACTTGTGTATATAGCCTTGGGCAATTTACTTCCCTCTGGGTTTTTGCTTCCACCTATGGAAAAAGAGAGGCCAGGGCTAGGGATGATATGAAGTCCCTCCCAGATCTCAATCCACGATGCTAATTCATTTCATTTATTTAAAAAAATATATTTATTAACTATTATGTGCAAGACAGAGAATCTGTCTGATGTTTCACATAAAGAAAGAGACAAACTAGGACTCGGAAGGATCTAGGTTCAAATCTTGCCTCTGATGCCTACTAGCCATGTGACCATGACCATTCTAGAACTCTCTTCCTTTAAGTATAAAAGGAAGGGACAAGACCAGCAGAACTTTAGAGTCACTTTAGAGACACTAAAGGCTCTTTGAAAGTTTTTTGTAACCAGGAAATAAGACTGGGTAGGGGTGGGGAGTGGGTAGGGGAAGATTCATAAATCTACCCTGCCTGTTCCTAAACAAACATTAAAGCAAAGTCAATACCAGCAAAGGGAGACCCGGGAACAGACTGGCCAGATACTGCCAACACTGAATCATAGAGTCACAAGATTTGAAACTGGAAGGAAATATAGAGGTCATCTATTCCAACATTTTGCTGAAGAAGATACTGAAGGTCCAAGAGTTCAACATCTTGACCAAAATTATAGAGATAGTAAGCAGAAGAACTTTGCTTTGGATTCAGGTGCATTGACTTCAAATCTCACATTCTTTCCATTTTAATCTGGTTCCTTCTAATTTCCAAACCATCTAGTGTTCACTGAGCAACTCTTGTGGTAGGGTGTAGTGAGTGGAAAGAACCCTTCCTTTAGAGGCAGAAGGCCTGAGTTCAAATACTGCCTCTCCCACTTACTACCTGGTGACTTTGCCAAGCCCCAACCTCAATGGTCCTTAGTTTCCTCCTCTATGAAAAGAGGGAGGCTTTCACTATACAACCTCTTAAAGTCTTTTCCAGATTTAAAACTATGATTCAAGGTCGACAATACTAGGCTTGGGTCTCTCTGAAGTGGTTTCAGCTTTCTTTTAAAGTGTTTTGTTTGTTTGTTTCAGGCACAGAAAGGATAGATTTATGTGTGTGTCTCACTCTTCCTCCTCTCCCCCTTCCCCTTGCCCGCCAGTCCCCTTCTTGCCTAGCACCTGGTCCCATATCAACCAATAGATAAACATTTATTAACTACCTACTGTGTGCCTGGCACTGTGGTAAGGACTGGGGATATTTAAAGAGATAAAAGGCAGTCCCTGCCCTCAAGGAGCTCACAATGTAATGGGGGAGACAAGCAGCAAATAAATATATACAAACAAGTTATATGCAGGATAAATAGGAACTAAGGGAAGGCACTGGAATTAAGAGGGGGTGGGGAAGACTTCTTGTAGAAGGTGGAATTTTAGTTGGGACTCAAAGGAAGTCAGGGAGGTCAGCAGTCAGAGTTGGGGAGGGAAAGCCTTCTAAGCATGGGGGTGGGGGAGACAGCCAGAGAAAATGCCTGGAGCCTCCAGATGGAGTATCTTTTTTTTTTTTTTCATGGAACATCCAGGAACGCAGGAGGCCTGGATTATAGAGTAGAATGCCTTTAAACCCGGGAGTAACTTTAGAACTTTGGTAGGAGCTGTGGAGGAGAAGTGCAGAAAGCCAGGAGCTGGCTGGTTGTTCCCAGGAGATGACCCTCTCCAGAGGTTTTCTTGGTCCAGACCACTCATTTCCTCAGGAAAATCCCCTACCATTGGATTGCTGTTTTATGTGAGCCCAGGCCCCTCTGGTTCTGGCTGGCTCTCTGAGCTAAGCTGCGTCTCCACTGAAAAAGGTTAAGCACAGAAATTCCCCAGAGTCTCAGCTCTTCCCCTGCACCAAGGGGGGGGGGGGTACCCTGGATCTCCAGACGCTTACCTATGCAGGTCTTGGCGCCCAGGATGCTCAGAGAGGAGAGGGTTCCACTGGGTCCCCTAGAGAAGTTGCAGCCAGGTAGGAAGGTGGAGTCAAAGGGACTAGAGCCCTGGAGGTAAACGTAAGAGAAGAGGTGTGGACCAATCAGGCGCAGAGATTCAGAGGACTCGGCAGAGACCGCCCCTCGTCCCGCCCCACTTCCAGGTTGCTAAGGACGCGGGAGCCCGTTGCTGGGGTGAGCTGCTGGGGATTAGGCTACACCACCCCTCCCCCCTCTCCACGCCCCGCAGGACTGCAGAAAGGTTAGCCCTGTGCTTACAGCGGGGTGGGGGGTGCGCCCCATTTTGGGGTGGGGAATCTTAGGATCAAAGCTGTAGAGCAGATGGCACCTTCGAGGCTATCTGGTCCGACTTCATTCTGTAGGTCTGGAACTGACACCAAGAGAGAGGTTAAGCCACTTGCCTGAAGCCATGCAGCTAGTGACCCAGGTGGGACTTAAAGTGTGTGTGGGGGGGGGCAGGAGGAATGGCTGCACTGGGTGGACCATTCCCAAAGGCGTCCTGAATAGATGCTGGCCTGGGAAGCACTCGAAGGTATCTCAAAATCCTTCAAACAAGCCATGAGGCCCCTAAGTTTCTGCATCCTCACCTCCAGACAGCCTTGGGCCACCTCAGCTGCTATCCAGTGGGTAGTTGTATTTGGAGAAGCAGAACAGCCTAAAGGTTGTTAGAGGAAAGTGGTACCTTGGGAAAGGGGGGCGGGGGAAGCTAGGGCAGGGATAAGGGGAGTTGACTGTTCCCTCCCTACCTCTATGACGTTGGGCAATTAGGTTCGGAAGTTCCCTCCTAATTTCTCTTGCCTTTGACTCTAGAATAGCTAGCCACATATTCGTGCCCCTCCCCCTCTCCCTTGCTTTTGGTTTTCCCTGGTTATTATCAATTCCCCCAGAGTAAAGTTCCCATCTCTCATCCTGCATCCTTCTTAGTGTTGTGTGCCTTCCCTTCACCAGGAGAACTTCACACGTGTGTAAGCCTTTGTTTGGTACTCCTATGAGTGCCTGTGCATATCCATGTCTGAGTGTATAGCATCTGACTGCTTCAGTCTCTGTCTCTCTCATATATATATACATGCATACTTACATATTTGCATGTATATATAAATTTGGTATATATACATTCACGTATACATCTGTATCAATCATCTATCCATCTAATCTACCATTTGGCTATCATCTCTCAACCTGTATCTACATGTGTCTATGTCTCTATTTAGTCATCTATCTCTCTGTCTAAATATCTATCCATCACTATCCGTCTGTCTATCTGTCTGTCTATCTATCTATCAATCTGCCTCTCTGCCTCTCTATCTACCTCAGCTTCTTATTTCTTTGGCTCCCTGGGGTAAACAGATCAGGGAGCCGGTCATATTTCACACATGGTAAATGATCTCTGGCTGAGCAAGCTGAAAGGCCTCTGTGGGCCCCATTGGCATAACTGGGTCAGTAATGAATAGCTTTAATATAATCTAGAGATGTTAAAAAAAAAAAAAAGAGAGCGAGCCATGGTGTTTAAAAGCCCAAGAAAGACATCTTCAGATTTATTCACTTAGAGCTAGAAAATTAGGCATCCAGTGTAAAGAGGTCTGAACTTGGAGTAACAAACCCTGAATTGTGATCCCTGCTCAGGGGCTTACTACCCATGTGAGGTTGGGCACATCACTTCTCTTCGCTCAGTTTCCAGTTTGCATTCCTGTAACATAAGAGGGTCAGTGTCAGACACTCATTTGGGTTTATGGTAAGAATGGACCAGAATGATCATCTAATCTGATATCCTAGAATATTTTATAGGTGGGGGTAAAATAACTTGCTAACAGTAACACAGCAGTAAATGGAAGAGGTAAGATATTGACTTGGGTCTTTTGACAACAAGGTCGGCAAGCATTTCTTATTTCCATTTCCAGGCAGTGTGTTAAGTGCTCATGGAAGCAATTGACCAGGTAGGAGATAATGCAACTCTATTTCCCCAACTTTAGTCTATGCTCAAGGCAGTGTTTCTTGTTCAAAGCCCAAAGTGTGTGGGGGGTGGGAGTGGGGAGAGACAGACACAGAGAGAGAAAAAGAGACACAGAAAGACAGAGATAAAAACCAGAAAGGGAGACAGAGACAGAAAGGGAGATAGAAACAGAAATAGAAGACACAGAAAGAGAATAAGAAAAATGGATACAGAGAAAGACAGAGGGAGACAGTGACAGAGAGAAAAAGAAAGCAGACAGAGAAACAGAGAGATAGAGAGAGAGGGAGCCCATACTTATTACAATGGAAAGAGGAATGACCTGCATTGGAAGACCTGGGTTCAAGTCCTGTTTCAATTAATTATTGGATGTTTGTATACAGTGCATTTCATCTTTATGAGTGACATTTCTTCTCTGGAAGCATAGTGGACAGAGCATTGGCCGTAGATTCAGTAGTTTAGCTCTGGCCTCAAACACTTCCTAGATGTAGGTCCTTGGGCAATTCACTTAACCTTCGACTGTGTATGAATGTGTATACATATATGTATGATATACACATGTCTATTAATGTACATATAAACACATACAAATGCATATATTGTCTTCCCAGTAGAACATAAACTCCTCAAGCACAGGGATCATTTCATTTTTATCTGTATTCCTTAGCACAGATCCTGGTACATACGTAACATGATTGTTACGTATAATGGTGGAGTGAGTCATAGAACCCAGTAGACTGGGAATAGCCTTTTTCTCAACCTCATTGTTGTTGTTATTGTTCAGTTATTCAGTTGTGTCCTACTCTTCCATGACCCCATGGACCCTTATGGATAAAAGGGTACACCAGGCTCTTCTATCCTCCACTATCTCTCAAAGTCTGTCCAGGTTTGTGTTCATTGTCTCCATGATGCTATCTCTCCACCTCATCCTCTACTATCCCCTTTTCCTTTTGCCTTCAATCTTTCCCAACATCAGGGTCCTTTGCAAGGGGACCCATCTTCTCATTTATGTGGCCAAAGCATTTAAGCTTTAGCTTTAGTATTGAACCTTCCAGTGAATAGCCTGAATTAATTTCTTTAAGTATTGACTGAGTTGATCTCCTTGCCGTTGAAGAGACTCTCAAAAGTCTTCTCCAGAACCACAATTCAAGAGCATTGGTTCGGTGGTGCTCAGCTTTCCTTATAGTCCAACTCTCACAGCCATACATAGCTAATGGAAGAACCATAGCTTTGACTACATGGACCTTTGTTTGCAAGGTGGTGTCTCTGCTTTTTAGTATGTTGTCCAGATTTGCCATTGCTTCCCTTCTAAGGACCAAGCATCTTTTAATTTCATGACTGCAGCACTGTCTGCAATGATCTTTTAGCCCAAGAATATAAAATCTGACACTGCTTCCATTTCTTCTCCCTTTATTTGCCAGGAAGTGATGGGACCAGTTGCCAAGATCTTAGTTTTTGTGATGTTAAGCTTCAAGCCAGCTTTTACAATCTCCTCTTTCAGAATCAAGAGGTTTCTTAATTCCTCTTCACTTTCTGCCATATGAGAATGTTGATATTTCTCCCAGCATTCCTAATTCTGGCTTTTGATTTTTCTAGCCTGGCATTTCACATGATGTACTCTGCATATAAGTTAAATAAATAAGGTGACAATATACAGCCTTGTTGTAATCTGTTCCCAAACTTAAGCCAATCAGTTGTCTCTTGTTTGGTTTTAACTGGTTGCTTCTTAGCCCATATATTGGTTCCTCAGGAGACAAGTAATATGATCTGGTCCTCCCATCTCTTTGAAGACTTGCCATATTTTGTTGTGATCCACACAGTCAAAGGCTTTGATGTAGTCAAGGAAACAGAAGTAGATTTTTTTTTTTCAGGAAATCCCTTGCTTTTTTCATAATCCAGCAAATGTTGGCAATTTGGTCTCTAGTTCCTCTACATTTCCGGAAATATTGCTGAAGCCTGGCTTGCAGAGTCTTGAGCATAACCCTGCTGGTGTGTGCAATGAGTGCTATTTTTCAGTAATTTGAACATTTCTTGATGTTGCCCTTCTTTAGGATTGGGACACAAACTGATCTTTCTCCAGTCCAGTGGCCGCTGTTGAGTTTTCCAAGTTTGCTGGCATATTGAGCGCAGCATTTTAACAGCATCATCATTTAGGATTTTTAACAGCTCAGCTGGAATTCCAACTCGACCCAATGCAGTCTAATTCAGTGTTATGTGTGCCAAGACCTGCACTGGGCACTGGGGATACATAGAGAAATTGAAAAATAGTTCATTCTCATCCATACCAACTTCATAATTGCTGCCAATTCAAGTCATCAATGTCTTTCCCAAAATCTACTATCCTCTCCTCCTAGAATGCTTCCTTTCCTCACCACAGTCCCCTGAAATGCTTGTCTTCTTCCTTTGATATACAAATGGTACTTCTTTTAAGAGCCGTTCCTTGGTTTCCCTCCCAGTAGCCTGACATCTCCCCCCGCCACTCCACAACTCCCAATCATGTTGCACTTTTTAGTATCTGTTCTGTGTTTACTTTTACATGAACATATTTCATCCCTCCAGGAGAAGGAGCTCCCTGAAGACAAGTATTGAAGGCAGATACGTTTTCCTGGTTTTGTCTTGGTATCTCTCATGTCTGGCACAATGCCTGGCACAGAGTAGACAAATAACAAAAGCTTATTGATTGATTTATTGATGGATCATAGATCCAGGCCTAGAAGGAACTTCAGAGGTCATTTAACCTTACCCCTTTACTTTATTTTTAATTATTTGTAAACATTTTATTGATTTTATTTTTCATTCCAGACTTAACAAATAATCCTCCAAATAAAAATAAAAAGGATTCCTCCATATACAAAGTAGAACAAAAAAAATATTGTATGAAAAATTGTGAATCCTACACAGATTCTTTCCCCCAAGTGTATATATATATATATATATATATACATACATATGTATAATATATATGTATATATATATATATATACACATACATATATATAATATATATATGTATATATAATATATATGTATGTATATATATATATACATATATACACATACATATATATAATATA